TTTTGGCTAATGTATTTTCAACCAGAATATAGGATTTATTTATTTATCTGCAACTATTTGTGAAACATGGTTCTCCACACACCCCTCAGGTTACAAGATAATATCCATTGTGCTTATCAGCTAATTTATATATAATTTTAATCAGGGCACATATGTGCTAGCGCAACTGATATACTTGAGATGGCATTCTACTGCCTGATTTTTGTTTACTCATTTATCTGAAAGGTGTTAGCTCTTTTGGAGCCTATCACTTCCTTCATTTGGAAAACACCTTTCAGGAGGTAGGACATAATAGTCACACCTCCCAACCAGCCAATCAGAATTCTTTCATTTATGCAGCATAGTTGTGAGCACCATTGCACATTGTGAATGCATCAATTTTATCAAGACTATGGAAAGGTGTTTGCGGTTTTTTTCTGGCTAAGATAGGGTATCTTGCAGGCCTATGAGCTGCTGAGCTCTAACTAATGGACTCTTAGAACTATGGCAGGTCTGTAGATTTAGCACTACACTATACTATGCTGTGGTCTAAACCACGGAGCCTAGGGCTTGCCGATCAGAAGGTTGGCGGTTTGAATCCCCGCGATGGGGTGAGCTCCCGTTGCTCGGTCCCTGCTCCTGCCAACCTAGCAGTTTGAAAGCACGTCAAAGTGCAGGTAGATAAATAGGTACCGCTCTGGCGGGAAGGTAAACAGCATTTCCATGTGCTCCTCTGGTTTGCCAGAAGCGACTTAGTCATGCTGGCCACATGACATGGAAGCTGTCTGCGGACAAACGCTGGCTCCCTCGGCCTGTAAAGCAAGATGAGCGCCGCAACCCCAGAGTTGTTCACGACTGGACCTAATGGTCAGGGGTCCCTTTACCTTTACCTTTATACTGAAGCCCATGGCCAGAAATGTTTTGGTGAAGAGGCCTAAGGATAAACTATGTGTAGGGTGCACATCATGAATTAATGTGAAACAGCAAAAAAAAAACAAAAAAACAGCTACAGATACAAGTATAACCCTGATATGTTTATAGTTGCTAACTTATTACCGTATTTTTCGCCCTATAGGGTGCACTGGCCCATAGGGCGCACCTCGGGTTTTTTTTGGGGGGGGGAATAAAAAAAATCCCCCCCAGCCCCCAGAACAGGCTGCTATCCGCAAGCCTGGGGATATCTGCGCGAAGCACGGGGTGCGCTCCGGGGCGCGCCCTGTGCTTCGGGCTGCAGGCTGCTGCCCGCAAGCCTTGCGAGCCCGGCAGGCACTCCCGCCGGGCTCCCAAGGCTTGCGGATAGCTTCCTGAAGCCTGGATAGCGAGAGAGGCCGGTGCGCACTGACGCTTCAGCGAAAGCCTGCATTTGCCCCATAGGACGCACAAACATTTCCCCTTCATTTTTGGAGGGGAAAAGGTGTGTCCTATAGGGCGAAAAATACGGTATTTAATTAGACTTTAAAACAGAGCAGGGAATGTTAGAATCTGCTCAAGCAATAAGGCTATGTCAGGTTTAGCCATCACATCCCTTCGCAATTCAACAATGGTGATTGTAACCAACAAGTGAGACCATGGTTTCCTAATACATCAGTTCCAGGCAAGTATCTTGCCAACAAAAGATTGGTTTGGGTAGCTGTAGGCTTCTCAAGAGAACACTCCTTATTACTGTGATTGTGACATTGGTTTCCTCGCACTGGTACAAGGCCAGGCTCTGTAGTCATTTATAGATCTACCTGTTGAGACAGACCTGCTTGGATTGCAAGAGCCAAGAATCTCAAAACTATTCTGTAACACAGGGATGGGGAGCCCATGGCCCTCTAGAAGTTCTGTCCAATTAATTTTTATTATGACCCTCTAGATGTTGATGGATTATGATTACCAAGATCCCTGAACATTGGCCATTCTGGCTGACGCCAATGGGAGCTGGGAGTCCAACAACATCTAGAAAGCCGCAGGTTCCCCATCTCTTGGTGAAATATTTGAAGTAAATGTTACACCTGCAATAACTATGCCATCCCCATGGAGGGCTCACTATTCCCCACCTGTGAAGCACAATAGGAATAGTGAACCCTCCATGGGGATGGCATATTTCTTGCAGGTGCAACATTTACTTCAGCGCATCTGTGGTGCATCTTTTGCACCTCAACTGGACTTTCTTGTTGGCTGTTAGTTTTGCTGTTGGTTGGCTGTTACATTGACCTGGATATTCTCCACATAATGGTGGCAATCCAACCAGCAAGTCGCTCTACATTTTGCTGGTAAAGTCTGGGGTAAAACCACAGGGCTACTTATTTTGGGCAGTATTCCCATGACATCCGTGTGTTCTCTTGTTCCAAGAAATGAAGCTCTTTTTATTCTGTGATATAATATCTCATTGTGGGCCCAATGACAGTATAATTATAGGAAGCAAAACATGCAGACAGCAATTGAGGAGCGGTGTTGTATGGTCACCTATGTAGGAGACTCTTGGGAACATGACTGTGTACCATCATCTGTCTTTGCCTTCCCATAGCTCCTCATGATTCATACAACATCCTCACTATAGCAGCAAGTTACTAGAATGGGAAAATAAATGCCATCTTTTATCACCTTGTTAGGTTGAACATGCTTAATGAAGATCAGCAGTGGGTTTGCCATTTTCCACATACTTTAGGATGCCAATTCCTGCCCCTTCTCAGATAATAAGATGTCAGCTTCCTGTGAGAAACACTGGTCAACATGGCTTGTATATAAAGGTAAAGGATCCTGGTATGGTCCAGTCAAAGGTGTAAAAAAAGGTAAAGGATCCCTGTATGGTCCAGTCAAAGGCGACTATGGGGTGCGGTACGCATCTCACTTTTTAGGCTTAAGGAGCTGGCATTTGTCCACAGACAGCTTTCCAGATCATGTGGCCAGCATGACTAAACTGCTTCTGTGCATGGAAATGCCATTTACCTTCCCGCCACAGTGGTACCTATTTATTTACTTGCACTGGTGCGCTTTTGAACTGCTAGGTTGGCAGAAGCTGGGTCAGAGCAACGGGAGCTCAGCCTGTCATGGGGATTCGAATCGCTGACCTTCCGATCTGCAAGCCCAAGAGGCTCAGTGGTTTAGGCCACAGAGCCAACCGCTCCCTTGGCTTGTATATACCAGGATGGAGAACCTATGGTCCTACAGATATTTGTTTGACTGTAGTCCCCACCATCCCCAACCATGGGCCCTGCTGTCTGCAGCTTTACCCATCAATTTAAATAGTCACTTGATTTCTGAGTGGCAATTTCCTATTTAGCTTTCATGTTCCTTAGGCATTGGGTACATAGTAAATAATCCATGGGTAGGCAAACTAAGGCCCGGGGGCTGGATCCATGAGTAGAATGTTTCCTTTTATTTAAAATGCATCTCTGGATTATTTGTGGGGCCTGCCTGGTGTTTTTACATGAGTAGAATGTGTGCTTTTATTTAAAATGCATGTCTGGGTTATTTGTGGGGCATAAGAATTCGTTCATTCCCCCCCCCCAAAAAAAATATAGTCTGGCCCCCCACAGGGTCTGAGGGACAGTGGCCCCCTGCTGAAAAAGTTTGCTGACCCCTGTTACTAATCTAAGGGCATCCTGTGGCTAAGTGGGCATTTGAACCCAGCTGCCTTTAGTCCTAGCCTTCCTCTTTGACGACTAACTGCACTGTCTCTTCAGAAGCCTTGTCTATCATCAGGCTCAGCAGTGCATCCTTGCCGCAATCAACACAAAACAATACTCAGCCGATACAAGGGTAATGGCTTCCTTTTAATTATCACTAGAAAGCAGTGTTTCCTTACACACCCAGAAACTGACTGAGCAGTACAAAGAGATGTAATCAGTGGAGCATGAGGCCATAAACCGGCTATCAGGAGCAAGGCATGCAGGCTCTTCTGATCCCAGTGTAGGTTGCTTTTGCTTGTTCAGAGCAGTCATCCCAGTATATAATCGCAAAGAGGCAAAAAAACTGCAGCATTTCCTTGATTAAGGTTGCACCAACCTGGCAGGCTAGCTGGTTAGTCAAGATCAGAATGGGTTAGTGACATGACATAAAAACATGTGGTTTCCTTTAATGCAACTCTCAGTGTGGTGTAGTGGTTAAGAGCGGTAGTCTCGTAATCTGGGGAACCGGGTTCGCGTCTCCGCTCCTCCACATGCAGCTGCTGGGTGACCTTGGGCCAGTCACACTTCTCTGAAGTCTCTCAGCCTCACTCACCTCACAGAGTGTTTGTTGTGGGGGAGGAAGGGAAAGGAGAATGTTAGCCGCTTTGAGACTCCTTAAAGGGAGTGAAAGGCGGGATATCAAATCCAAACTCCTCCTCCTCCTCCTCTCCTGATCATTTGTCTTTACCTTTATCTCCACTGGAGAGAGGTGTAAAGCAAAGCTTTCTTTCTACCTGGGGAAAAAAGCTATTAAAAGGTGGTATGCCATCTCTCTACAATAAAACCAAGCAGCTAATGCAACTTTTAGCTGCTAACACTACAGGGCTCCAATGACTTTATCATCTCAAGTGATGGTGAATGAGTTTTAAAGGAACACACTCCACCTATTTATTTTTTAAAATGCTTAAACTATGTTTATGCCCAACAAAAACCACAATTGTCCTATTTTTAGGAACAACATGGATCCTAGCTTATTCTCAAGGCTTCTTGAATGTATCACACTTGGTTTTTGAAGCTTAAAGTGGCTCCTTTTAAAGTTGTTGAAAATTAATCTCCTGATGTCTTAGGAAAAAGTAGCGTCTTAGGGATGACTTTAAAATAAAGATAATGTGCCTGGACCTTGAATACCCATTTCAACCCCACTATAGGAGTTCTTCATATTTCTCTCTCTCTCTCTCTCTCATTTATTGAGTGGTGTTAACGAACATTTACTCTGAGCAGATCCACTGTATTAATCATGTTAATTTCAGCAGGCCTACTCCCTCGAGTAAAACTCAGTTGAGATGTTTTCCCACTACAGCTTTCTTGAATTCAGTCTAGTATGTCATTTCCTTTTGCCAATGTCCATTAAGTGTGAGGAAGAAAAACTTCTTTTTTAAAAATAATAATCACTTTTTATTGAAAAAGAGTTAAAATAAATTACATTTTACAAAGTCTAATATGTACATACAGTGATTCCAGTGACACAAATCAGCAAACAAAAGTACAGACTGAAACAGGAATTGTGCCTATTCATGTGATGGAGTGAGAGATGAGATCATTAGGTCTGTGCACACTTCCAGAAGCATATGAAAATGGAGACCCTCATTTTAAAATTCAGTGCAGCATAGAAAGCATGAAAACTAAAGGCTCTAGGCAACTTTTAAAATCAGCAGGCATACATAATACTTTTTCCAGAGAAGATACTAGTACATTTTCACTTGTACCGTATCAATAAAATAAGGGGAGAATCAGATCATGCTCAGGGCAGAAAACTTAGTTTATATGTTTTGAAACACCCATTGCCAGCAATGGAGTCAACTATGTATTCAAATTAAGAAGAACCAATAAAAATGTTGCTTAAAAGTTTCATACCACTATATTAAATTCATAACAGTTGTGTAAGCAAGTGTTTCAGAGCTTCATTTAGTGGCCCCCTTTTAAGAGAAAAGCTAGAGCGATATACCATTTACACTATCTATGGGTCAGTTTTGCAGTGGATATGCATATAAATCAAACATCAATCTGGTGGGTGGGTTGTAAAGCTTCTCCTGCATTTTTCAGAGCAAATTATCACCTAGTTGCCACCCTACTATAAGATAGTTGAATACCCAACCTCAGTCCCAGGAATGACTCCATTGTTTGGCTAATTCGGGTGGTGAGAATATCCTATACACCAGAAGTTTTCAACAACCTTCTGTGATCCATGGCTCCCTTGACCAACTACATTCTTTCTGTGGCACCCAGAAGTCCACACTCAGGAGTGGCTCTCAGGAGTCCAGTAGTGTCACCCCTTGTGTGTAGAGCTGGCAGCCTCTCACCCTTTTTTGAACACCCTCCCTTGTGGGGTGTTCCCTCAGCTTCCTCTCTCCCCCCCTCTCCTTGGGAGTCATCTGGGCAGCTACTGCTGCCGTTCCTGGTGTATGAGCTGCCTGCCCCAAAGAGAGGTGCTTCCCAGAGGCACCATTCGCTCACAGATCTTATAGCCAGAGCTGCTGCAAGAAACAGCTGCGCAAGTCTTTGGGATGCAGAAATGCGAGAGGGGATCAGAGGAAGGGAGGGAAAGAAAGAGGAACAGAGGCTAGTGTTGCCCGCGGCACCCCTGACCACCATTCAAGGCACACTGGTTGAAAACCACTGCTATACACTGTTAAGGAAAAAGAAGGAGAGTTGGTGGGTTGTTTGGTCCAATTTATGGAACTGTATTTCCTCTCAATAACACTATGAAGCTTAGCAGCTATTGCCAGCATTCTGGGTTGTTCTGAGCCCAGTGACAACAGTAGCGGTGGGGCAAAAGGTAAAGCAGCAGTACCAAGGTTTCATGATCCACAGCTTGGTAGAGATAGGTGGGAAGGAGACTCCTCCCTTTCCCTACTGAAACACATGCATAAGATTGATGCCCTGGTGCTTTTGAAGGTTAGCAGCTATCTTTTTTAAAAAAAAAATCCCTTCCATAAACACCTATAACATGAACATAAAGTGGAGATTCCCTGCTCTCAGGCCGGAGGAGGAGAAGAAGTTTCCAAACCTAACACTTTCGCTTATTTTCACATTATGGAAATCCTTCTCAATACTTGGCTGAGAATTCAAGGTAGTCAAAGGCACTTCAAAGGGACTTAGACTGAAAAAGACTGAAGCTCCACTAAACATGGAAGACAGTACTTCAGACCAGGAGAGTGCTAAGGCAAACCAGTCCTCTGGTAGGTCTAAGGTGACTCCATTGTTTAATGAATGCCAGGTAAAGAAAGAAACCAACAACTAACGGGTAGAATCATAGAAGAGTGAAGGGTAAATGAATAGCTTTCAGCAGCTAAAAACCATGATCCAGTAAGTTACGCATATAGCCTTTTGGGCTGGCCACTTTATGACCAAAAAACCCCACTGCAAGGCACATGGTGGATTTGTTGAGAGGTAAGATTCTATCAGATGATCCAGCTGTTTCTCACATGTCCACTTTGATTTTAGCCAGGCACTAGGCAGAACACTGAAGCATTTGTATCTATCAAATTTGTCTTCACTTAAAACAAGGATAAGGTTTCCTTGGAAGTGGGTAAAGTTCCTAAAATGCAGAATATTTCCTAGGAAGGTGTTAATCACATCTAAAGAGCAGTACCTAACCTATGTTTTCATCAGGACACACAAGCTCACCTGTAGATGTACAGGTGAGCCTTAAGATGGAGACCTCAGCTTCAAGTTCCTATCATTTTGTTTCTGCCTGCCTATGCACTAAACAACACAACAGTCACACCAAGAAGACGTAATGTTTCAAGGGAATTATACGTTGTTTCTTGGCTGTTCCTATACTGATCTTGACTCTAAAAGAAGTGTGCACCGTTCTGTACCTCTTTTAGTACAGAGAGAAACCTTTAAGTCATTCATTCATGGAAGACACAGCAGATTGAAATGTCAACATTATGAAGTTATTTTCATAAGAATGATTTGCACTTCTGTAACAAAAATGGGACACAGTTCAGTACTTAGTGTATTAACTGCTATTAATATGAGGAACACTGTCACTGATAAAAACAGCAGGACAACATTTTTTGAGTTGTGAAACTGTTTGATGCCAAATGTTGTTTTACAGAGGTAAAAATAAGTCATGCCTGCAAAGGGTCAGTCGAAAAAAAAGTAGCCACAAAGCCTCTAAGAGAAACATCACTAGCCTCTTGGCCTTATTTCAGCTATACATTACATAATGCATAAGATAACACTGGCAAATCCAATTGAACAATTTCCTGTCTAGAAAAGTGTGAGAAAATAGAAGTTTTGGATTCCTTCTTAATTTCTTTTCTCCTCTTGCAACCTTCCTTGTATATACAGTACACATTTCCAAACAGAAATGAACAGACCATCTTTTGCAGCTAATGCCTTTGAGCTGTCCTTCTGCAGACATTTTCTAAGAAAGGGAATACTACACACCTCTTCCCCACTCTTCAGAAGCCAAACAGTAGTCAAAAAGAGAAGTTTGAGTATATCTAATCATTCAAGATCAGTACTGCAAAAATTCCACTTGGCCCTTTTTACCATGTCAGATTCAAAAATCCTCCCTCCAAGATTTTCATCATCCACTAATTCTTCCATTTCAGATCAAAACAGGAGGAAGTACAATTAAAATCTACACTGGAGTGTCTCACAACCTGATCCTCAAACATCTCTAGGACTGTGATCTAGAACACTTAGGCTAGAACACTTGCTTAGATTGTTCACCATTGTAACTCTGCTCCAAAGATTTATAATGTAATTTAAAAAGGAATACCAACCACTGAGTTAATTATTTCTCTGCCATGCAAAGCCAATTATCAGATAAAGCCCTTCGCCATGATATCCAGCTTCGGCTGCTTTTATAAGTCTTCTCATACTCTCCCCAAATGCTAGTTAACATTTTCATTTTACTTAGAAAGCAGTTGAAATACAGCAGAAATATATGAAAAACCAACAACACTGTGTGCCCATAACAAATATACATCTACTCTAAAGTATCAAATGGAGTGGAGAAAAATGGAATGTTTTAGAATCAGAGAGACAATGAATATAACAAAGCAGCTCTTCGGCTGTTCAGACAAACATCAAGGTATTCAGGCTGTGTTTTGCATTTTTTATATATCTAAAAACCAGTCATTCAAAAGGGCAGTGTCACCAAACTTCACTTAGGAGACACGAGCACATGAAATTCAAGTATTTTCTGTAGACTATGGACAATGGAAGGGCACTTCTGATGCAAAACTGTTTGCCACTGTGCTTTTCTTCATTTTAAATCTGTCATCTGCAATCTCCTCGCACCAATCTGTTTCTAATTTTTAAATATTAGTCATATGTACTTTTCATTATAACCAGGTTTAACTGCAGATAGTTTCTTGTACAATAGAAGATATAATGTCTCCATAAAATTGGTTCTGTGTCTAAGTTAGTGCTTTTGTTCATGGACCTTCAGCTCACGACTCAGCAGAACTGGCATAACTTGAGCAGTTATTGTTCAAGTTCCCTAGTCAGGACTGCCAATGTATCTCAACTCTGACCTTTAGATACTCAGCCCTTCTGGTTCAAAGCATCCCTTTGAAGGAGAATGGAAAGAGAGCTTCATTGTGCGATTTTGAGCTTGCATGAAACAATCAACATTTTCCACTCTGAGCCTAGATGTGATCTGAATTCAGTTTTTCAGAAATCAAGAGTTAGTGCAGTAACCAGCCATGTCATACATACAATCAATCCAAACCAGTCTGATTTCAAAATCAGAACGTCATTCTTCATCAAATACTGAATAGGCCCAATAACTCTAGGCTTTTCTTCCTAACTTCAAGCACGACCAACTCCCCAAAGGGAAAAGGAACCCTCAAGTTTTTAGAATTGTCACTTCACAGTGAGTAATCAAACTGAGTAACAAACAACTAGAGATAACACCTAGCTGTTGAACGCTTTCAGTATACTAATACAAGGAGGTGGTGGCAGTAGAAAATGCCAACCATGGTACACCTTCCCCTTTTTCCTCCTCATGCATGTTCATCTGTTCAAATCTGTGTTAAATGATCTTCAGGAAGCCAGTAACAAAAAAGAAAAAGCTGTTGTTCACGTTGCAGCTTTTGCAGTATTCACTATGTTGTATTCATTCAATAGCTGCTCATAAGGCACAGATATCTCTAAATCGTTATTGGTAAACGTAGATTCATCAGAGGATGAAAATGTCACCAGTTTTTTTGGAGACTCTGGCTCCTCTGCAAGATTGTCATCCATAGACGACTTTGAAGTTTCTTCATCATCTGAAATATCCTCTTCATCCTCATCTTCATTTACAAAAGTTATATTGGCATTTTCAAAGATCAGGGGTCGATAGTCCCTGGAGTCCCATGCTTCTCCTTCTTCCTCACTGATCCGATCCAGTTGATTTACAAACCCACTGCCCTCAATTGGGCTATCCCCAATACGTCTATCAGTTAGATGCCTCATAACATGAAAGTTTTGGAGTCCCAGAGAAACCTCATCATAGTCAAACAACTTGCTCCTTGTGTACATCACTTTGACATCTTGGCTAGAATGTTGCAAGGCTGGCTTCACTGGCTCTCCATTTAGGATTTTGTCATTGCTTGTTTTCAGACCCTTCTTTCCAATCTGCTTGATGAGATCATTGTAAGTCTCTTGCTTCTTGGAAAGGAAGCTGAAAATGTTCACATCTTTTGGGTTAGACATCTGAAGAGCTTTTTTTGTAGGAGGGTGGGTCTCGAAGGACTCCTTCCTTTTTTTCCTTCGTTTCTTGATTGCTTTGTGGACCTCAACAAACATGCTGACCTTCCAGTTAACAAAGAGAGAAAGCCATGCTAAGCCTAGGTAGATCCACAGCTCCACAAAGTATCTGTAGAGTGAATGGTAGGTCATATTTGGATTCACACCTGAAAGGGGAAAAAACAGAAAACAAAATTATAGGACCATACATACATACATGCCTTAACATTAGATTGACATTTTCATGTTTCACAAGAAACACAGGCAAGTTGTGCTTGCAACCCATTAAAAAGGAGATTTTTAAAATTGTGAACAACTAATTTTAGGGTCTAATTTGTAGTACCTCTCATAACTTAAAATAGTCATATGGTACTTCGGGATCAGGCTCAGCCTTTGTGCCTGAGATCAAGTACCAAACCTCAACAGTCTGTTCTGCAAACATCAAGTGTCCAAGATTAAAAAGACTTGTCACATATTTAAATTCCAATAACTGCACATATATGCTGACAGATGTTTCTGTAGTTTGAATACTACAAATACACAGATAATATGCTGGTAATAGATGAATAGTTCATTCTGGAACTTCACAGCAAGTTTAGAATTAAGAGGTGCAAAGACCTAGTATCTCTAAAAAGGTGGGGGTGTCTGCCCAATCACATTATTGTAAGATGGAGCAAGTGAACAGCAAATCTTACTAGCCATTCATGGTTTCTCCAAGGCAACATTTCATCCATTTCAACCCTTCTTTGAACAAAGATAAATTATCATGAAGACCTGCCTAAACATGTCTGTTTAAAACAAAACGTCCCTTTGGCTTTTGTTTTTTCAGGTCCTTATTTCCTGCCTCCTTTGAATCTACAACTGGAGCCTTCTTTGTACAGGATCTTGTCTATCAATGAGTACCTAGGCAATCTCCTCATCATGTAACACATTGACTGCCCAGTTTCTAGCCCTAATAGGCATTAATGGTGCCTTTCTTTCAGACCTGCTGGTTGGCTATCTGGAGCAAACTGTCATTCAGAAACCTTCTTGGCAGAGTCTCTAAATTATTATTCTTAATAAAAGTATCTATAAAATGGCTTTTGGGATTTGGCATGCATTTGTGACCGTTCATTTGTACCTGCCCTTTATGTCTAAATACTTGCCCTCAAGCTACTGAGTGGGTATATTGAGAAGAAAGAGGGGATGGATGGACTTTTACACCCAGCTTGACTGAAGTGGGTCTGCTGGCTGTTTCCTTATTTTCCAAATTAAACCACTGAAGGAAATGGTGAGTCCCTGCATCTCACTAGCTTAGTGGAAGGGTTGTGGTAGCATTACCAAAGAGTTAGTGTTGTGGCTAGTGTTTTACTCTCCCCAATCAGGGTGAAATTCTTCCTCACACCAGTATTATTTATTTTATTTGTTCAGTTCACAAAGCAGGTGGTTTGCAAAATGTCAGTCAAATCCCAAAACACAACCAATAAAATGTTTACAAGAGCAATCCATTAAAGCAGGCATTACAACAGAACCAAATATGGCACCATAACCATACACAGCAGCAATGCTTCAAGTAATACTGAGCCTCACACAGTAACATAATGCCGAAGACATGGCTGAACCTATACTTCTTTACATGGGGTGGTATCCCAGTAATGTAAGAGCTGCCAGTGCCTCAAGGGGAAAAAGATCCCGCATTCAGAGTACCTTGACAAAGGCGGCCCTCAATGTGTCACCACACAATGAGATACGCTTGCTTGTGGGATAAAAAAAGAAAGAAAAACTGCAACTGCTGTTCTCAGTTTAATAATTTGCCCTTCCAATGCTTACATGTAATCTGATTGTTTATGTCAGTTGTGCATGCAGCAACAACCACCCACGTGACAGCCCGCGTGATTTTTCTTCTTTGCAGAACTGACAATTCCAATGCCAATAAAAAGTGGAGATGAGTCACTTATATAGGAAATCACTCTTGTAAATCGCCATTGACTTTGCGGTTGGCGGTTGTGTTAAGAAGTGCTGCAAACTTGCAAAGTATTGGACTTCCGGGGTGGTGCCATCGGCAATGGCGGACTCCCTCTGAATTGGAGGGACTAGCTCCGCGCGAAACGGGTCTTCTCCGCTACGGCGAAGCAGGGAACCTTTTAAAAATCACAGGCGGATGAAGCCTGTGACCATGGGACTTGGTGGGCACCCTTAGCGCCCTCCCCAACCCGCAAAGGAACCCACTAACAGGCTCCGAAGCGAAGAGGGGGAAGTGGCGCGGTGCTGTGAGTCAACTGCTATTTCCATGGAGCGAAGCCGCACAGCTGTTGCCGGAGAGTGCTGCCTTTTTCCTGGGACAAATTGGCTTCTAAAATAAGCACCTGTGAGTACTCAAACTTTGAACAATTGGACTTTAAATAAGGACTTGCGAGTAGAAAGGAATTGGACTTAAAAATTTTATTTCAATTTGGTACTGAAACGGGAAGGTCTAAACAGGAAGTCAGCCTTCCGTTTCTTTGTAGACAGAATAAAGCAAAGACAACGTAAACTAGAGCTCAGAAAATCGCCTCTAAAGGATTGGCTTTCATCATTTAAAATTGTTGAACCCCCCTTCGGCAGCAGGAGAAGAAGGGGGGATCTTTTCTGGACTGTTTAAACCTGCAGAAGTGAGTTTAAAGTAAAGTAACTTTCCACCGTCCTGATCCTGGAGCGGGGTGTCAGGACTGACGTTTGAAGCTCATCGACCAGAAATAAGCGCTTTTGACAGATAGCTAAAAGAAGAGGAACATAGTGATTCCATTGTTTCCTTTCGCACCTTAAAGGAACAAATATTGACAAAATAACTGAAAAAGGAAACTCTGTTGCTAGACTTGTCTTTAAAAGAAAGATTAAACAGAAGTTTTCCCCCTAGAGGGAGACTGTGAAACTGTAACCAACTCCTGGGAGCCGGCATCTGTTACAGATTACAATCGTGGGAATAGACATCTGACCTTCAGGACAATGTATTCAGAAGCTCTGTTGTGTGCTTTCTATAAAACAAATGCCCTACTGGAACAGTTACATGAGAAGACGAATTTGATGGCTGACTCGATTAGAAATTTTGAACAGGCAGTGGGAAATTTTGAACAGGCAGTGGGAAAATATGTGGAGCCCACCCAGGAATTAAATCAGGAGTGTGTCTTGACAGAACAGGCCCTAAAGGAATATGAGCTTTCGGATTTGACAAATGAACTTGGAAAAAGCCAGATTTGGAAAGAAAAAGTTTGGTTTGGTTTGGAAATGGGGGGTTGTATAGACCCTCCTATGAAATTGGACTTTTCAAGTCTGGCAATGGGCCGTGAGATGTTTGGGATTGTGGGGGCTCTTAATTTTGGAGGGATTCTGAAACATGTTTTTAAATACCACATGGAATTTAGCGTTGATTATGGAAAAGGGGCTGATCTGTCGAGAAGGGTCAAAAATACTGCTAAGTTGGAGTTCCCACGAGTGAAAGGAGCAGGAGACAAAGGAAAATACAGCTATAAATATGAAGAAGAGCTGTGGAAGGGACATGGAAGGGACTTAAGGGCCTCGGATATAAGATTTCCAGGTTAATGCGCCAGATTGATGGGATAATAAGGACTGACAAAACCCGGGACCAGGAGGAAGGGACGCTGGATGAAGATTGGATTTGTTTTTATTTCTCTTTTTCACTACTAGGACTGCTTTACTGATGAATGTTAGAAAAATGTTGGAATGAAATTACTTGGCTTTAGTAAAAATGTTTAAAGAATTATGCAAGAATATTATGGTTATGAGAAGTTGGTAAAAATAAGATTTAAGTTTTAAGTTTCAAGGTTTTTTATAGTAAGATAAGATTAAAATAGTTTAAGGTAATGTAATGACAGAATATTATGAAATATGGAAAATGAATGTTAGAATGATGTTGGATAGAAATTAAATGGTTTTTAGCTGAAATATTATAAGGGAATATGAAAAATGGATTACTAACAGGTAAAAATTTAATGTTACAATACTTTAAGATTAAAGATTAGGATAATCAAAGAGGGGAAGGATTTGCTGAACCAACAAACTGAACTGGAATACAAAAAAGGGAGGCGTGAGGAGGTCCGGGAAACAAGCTAATGAAAAATAAGTAATGGAAAGATTGACTTGTTTTTAACTATTTTTATTTTATATTTTTCTTTTTTTTCTTTTTATTTTGTAATATTTTGAAAACCTTAATAAATATCTTATAAAAAAACAACAACAAACTTGCAAAGTATTAATGTTAATTAGCTGCCAGGGTGTCATGAATTGTTACTGACCAGCAACGTAGTCTCCAAATCCTATGGTGGTAATAGTGATGAACGAGAAGTAGAGTCCTTCAATATAATCCCAGCCTTCAGTCACCATAAAGACAAAGGGAGGAAGAACCAGGTGGATCAGGACTCCCCAAAGGATGAAAATAGCAGTGCATGTAATTTGTGCTTTTCTCTGCAATGAATGAAAAGGGGGAGGGGGGAGAGAAAGATAAATCATTTTGTTCTCTTCTTCTGCATTTTGCATTAATGAAACAAAACCACAACAACCGTCTATCCTGTGGCAAGAATGTAGCAACTGCAGCCAAACTGAAGGAAGTAAATATAGGAAGTAAATGAGTAAAATGCAGGTTCATTTGAATTTTTGGTTATTTCCGGACATGTTTTCTTCTTCTTCTGTTTTCTTGCTGGTAAAACAAGAAGCATCTTGGCATAAAACCATCACACCATGGATTTTCCCATAGCATTTTCGCTTTGTGAAGCGTTTGTGTGGAACCTGCCCCACAGTTTAACAGTTAAATCAGAGAAACCTCTTAGTAACTACCATTCTCTCTCAAGTTTCTAACTTGCAGATTTTTTGAGATGGAGGTTCTTTTACATAAATACCTCAGCAGAGCAAAAAAAAGGCATGGCAAATACACAGTGCAAAACCTGTGTTGTAATAAAACTATATGACACAATGTGATGAAGTTTAAACCATTAGCAAGTTCTTTCTAGCCAATGAAGATTCACCCAGCACCCAAGAAAGAGGGAAACAAACAAACCAAAAGAAACCCCATCTAACAGAAAGACGGGATTGCTCAATCCTACAAGAACATAATGTATTTCTTCAACTAAGATAAGCTTGAGCCCCTCAAAACAGGGAATTTAGAGGGAAACAGAAGAGTACAGAAATATTGTGAGACATGATGATGGTACAAAGGGCAAGGAAATATTATTTTAACAGATCTGGACAGGGTTCCAACCTTTTACATTCTGAAGCATATGCCACCCCTTCGGATTCTTTGCTAAGCAACAGCAGGAAGCCAGTGACAGTTCTGGTTCTGCACTCTTTCTTATTGGTCCTTATTTAGAATTTACATGAAAAATCTGGGCAATGCATTCTAGCTGCATATCTGAGCAATGTATTCTAGCTGCAATGTATGGACAGTCTTAAGACTATAGAAAGTAAGGAACAGAGGAAAGAGGGGAAGTTGGGGCAGAATGGAAGGCTGGGAATAGCTACCAAGGGGGGAAATTCACATTCCCAATCATCTAAAATTGTTTCTGATATGCTGATATGTGAATTATGGGTAATTTCCCTATACATAGCCTTTTTATTTTTTGTGTAGCTCATGCATAGGAATTTGTACTAAAATTTCAAGCTGCTTATCTGTCTTGGTTTTAATTCTGTCCAGTACTAATTTATACTGCAAGCAGTTCAGGCGTGCATCAATATTGTTATCAGTGAAGAAAGGTGATCAATTGCATCTGAGTTACTTCTAAATAAAAGAAATGTTTTCTGCATCATCTGTTTCATAGATTGATTTTAAAGGTCTTCAGAGTTCCATGCATCCTGTGCCAGCAATAAGATAATCAGAAATTCATTTCGTACCAGGCTTACTCCTCTCTTTGTCAGGAACTGGCCCAGCCTCTTGGCACGTCCTCCAAAAAACTTCCCCAAAGCACTGATCCATGTTAAGCAGAGAGGAACACCAAAGAGTCCATAAAATATACAGAAAAGTCGTCCAGCTGCAGTCTTCGGAGCAACATTTCCATATCCTGAAAAAAAACATTGTATTAAAAGTTACCTATGCCATTTTCAAGCACCAAAAAATAATAATTTCTTCTCTGTGAAAGTTTTTGAGCTTGCTCACACATGACAGTTTTGGGTCTGACGTCCTGCAAGATTTTTACTTGCCTCTACTGAGTGACATATGATCATTTAGTAAGCCACGAGTCGGTATTATCATAGCCTGCATATACATATCAGACACACATGGGCACTCACTGCAAACAGTAATAGGATATGAACTGGGCTAAAGATTCTGCGATTACACATTGCATCCGCAGAAGCTGGCCTCAGAATTCTGAGTCCTAAGATTCTTTGCTTTCCGGTTTAAAACAAGTAAAGTTTTCGGCCCTTAATAAAGATGTTTGAAAATGAGTGGATAGACAGTGAAATTTCAGAAGCTAGTCAGTAACCATGCAGCTGAATACTGAACAAGACATTGTATTTGCCAGGCTGTCATCTCATCATTGATCTGCAATACTGGTGGAGGAACCACCTCACTTAGCTGTTGCTCTGTGCAAACACCTCTGTTCTGTACTGTTCTACATGGTTATGAAGATGGGATCAGAAGATATTTTGTTTAAGGATTCAGACAGGTTACATATGCCATGAAAACTGGCACAAAAACTGGCACCCAAGCTTTATTAAATACTATATGGCATATACCAAATTGCTCAGCCACCTGCCACTGAAAGAGAGAAAGACAAAAACAACTCTCTTATGCTTTCAGTCCTCGTGGCTGAAAATACACTAAACAAGGACCTAGGGAGAGCAGAGCCCATGTGTTGTAAGTCAATAAGAATATTCAAGTTTAAACCAGTTTCTGCTTTCTTGAACTGTTTATACAAAGTTTTTCTGGGCAGGGGGAGGAGGAAAGAATGTCAAGTTTCCTTCAAATTATTTTAAATAATGGTAACAAGTAGAACATAGTGCTTTATTTGGTTATGCAGTAAGGTTTCTACCTCCCCTTGCCCACCTACTCTGGTCAGTATGTTTTCTAACACTAAGCATGTTCTTTCTCAAGACAAACAAACAGACTGTGGCTCTGATGTTTTCCTACATCTTACAAGATTTTTTTTAACAACATGAAAAATTTTGCAAAACAAAAAGCAGCGTAAATAAACCCTTTAACACTGTTTTCTTTCATTCTCTCTCTAGCTTGGGAATGAGGCACAAATAATACATAAAGCTTTTTATTGGTTTGATTGTGACAACTCATTTTAGTCGCTTTGAATCACATTTGTGACTCAAAATTGTGGTACCCAGAACTCGACACAATACTCTAGATGTGATCTAACCATGGCAGAATAGAGCAGGACTATGACTGTGATTGTGGCTTCCACTGATGCAGCCTAGAATAGCAATAGCTTTTTCTTTTTGCTGCTGCATCACACTGTTGACTCATATTAAGCTTGTGGTCTACTAAGACCCCTTGTTCCTTTTCACATGTACTGCTGGCAGTCCACGTGTTCCCCATCTTATATTTGTGCAGCTGGTTATCCCTGCCTAAGGGAAGAACCTGACATTTGTCCCTACTGAAATTCATTTTGTTAATTCAGGTCCAGTTCTCCAATTGGTTAAGGTCCTCTTGAATGCCTATTCTGTCTTCTGCACCATTGGTTGCCCCTCCCAGTTTGCTGTCATCTGCAAATATGATGAGCATCCCTTCAATTCCTTCATCCAAGTCATTTATAAAGATATTGAACACCAATGGGGTCAGAACAGAACCTTCAGTCACCCAAATTGTCTATTTTTTCCAGGATGATGTGGAACCATTAGTGAGAACTCTTTGGGTTTGGTCAGTCAACCAGCTACAAATTCACCTAACAGTTACCTCACTCAACCCACATTTTACCATCTTCTTCGCAACAATGTCATGGGGGACTTATGCATTCTTTGCTCACCAGAGGTTTAAGAAGGAGAATATTCAGAAAGCAAGAGCAAGCCAAATACTCACCAATGGTTGTAATCACAGTAGCAGCAAAGATGACAGCATTAGGCCAGTTCCAGTAGTTGAAGGTGTCATTGGCATCAATAGAAACCCCTTGTCCAGCAGCTTCTGATACCACCTATAGAAAAAATGGCAGCGGTCACTCAAAATGCACCCAGAGAGTTAAACAAGACAAGTCATTCTTCCATTACAAAAATATTTTTTCCATTACGAAAATAAAATGCAGTCTTCAAAAAATATTTTACCCCATTTACACATGTTCAATTTTATCAATTTATCAGTGATAATTTTAAGATTGGCAAGAAAATCTAGTACCTCCCAGCTTATAATATTTTTCAAAACCCTATAGTATTTAATAGCTGTAGATTTTGGAAGTAATTGGAATTAAAAGAGTAACTATTCAAAGCGGTAGAGCTATCTTTTGTATTAGATTCTGCAGTCATAAAAACACTTGGGATAGTCTATAGTCCAGTTTTCAAATGCACTAAGCGATAAACTGAATTTGAGAACGATTTCTTGATGTTGCTTTAAAGAACACGCAATGTTGTTTTGGGTCTTATCAAGGCCAGAGCGTAAGCATGGTGAATGGAGTCTTTTGGCAAAGCTGTTCAAATGAAAACAGTACAAGCACAGTGGAGGGCTTGTACACTTGCTGTGCTCAGGCAAGCCTCCATGAAACCAGGCTTTTCAGTTTATTTTTCTTTGCCTCATTTCCTAAATGAATTTCATGCTATCAGGGCTAACTGAGAAAGGGAACTGAGTGCAAAGAAACTTTCAGACTTGCTGTCCCAATTTGAACACTAAATATTTATTTTGGGCATTTTGTGGCAAGCGAGCCCATTCCTGCGACTTAAGCATTTCAGTGTTTTTTTCCAAGTACAGCAGTTTTTAACAAGGGTGACCTTGACTTTCTGTAGGCATTACTTTGGGACACACTGCACTTCCAACCTTTTTTATTGGTCCATTGTAGATTGCATATATCGATCCCAGCAAGAGATGTGCATTGATTGGAGCCAACGAACCAATAATTTTGTTTTTCTTAAAACAAAACTTTAAAACCAAAACTACTTAAGGGAATTGAAGAGGAATTTTCAATCCCTTCAGATTTTCCTTTCAGGGATGAGGGAGAAAGATGTCAGGAGCCTGGGGCTTTAAAGGGATGATTTACGGTAATATTAAGGTGGGGATTGTATGGCCAACCTCAGCATCTGCATATTCACATAACACCTAGTGTCTCACAGTACAAAATGTCTCTGACATCACTAGGACTCTCACACCTCCCCATAAGTGAAGAAACACCCTTCCTTTTGCTGAATTCCAGAGAAATCACGGTCAACCTACTGATAAAAAGAGCAAAACCGAGTGCATGTATTTAGTGTATACCTCAGAAACAACGGTAGCCTTCAGAAATGGAGAATATACTGAACTTCACATGCATGAAATTATGTCAAAACCTGCCCCATGTCATGCATATACCTGATAACTGTAAGTAGCCTTTTGCCCAGCAGGTAAGGACCCAATAGCACAATGAGCACATACGTTGTATTTATAACACAAGAAGACGAAGAAAGAGAAGATATAAACAAAGTTAAGATCAGGACGAAACTGCTGACCCAGCTAAGAGGCTATTTCCACAATCAGTTAAGGCCACACTCAGAAAACTAGTGGAACGCAACCACAGGGAGCATGGTCTAATGAGGCAAGCCATTTGTGGCATGACTTTGGCGATTTTCACTATGTGGTCTCTAAAATGCCAGAACAAAATTGGTTTGCATGGGTATGATTTAAGTTATCAGAAAAACATGCAGCACTGCTGCACAGAATGGGCTCCACACAACTGAGTGGACTGATTGAACTGCCCAGAGCCCTTTTAGGAAGAGGTGTAGCAATTCCATTATCTCTCCCCGTCACTCCTCTCTTAAGGCCAAGTGATATTTCATGACCTCAGACTCCCACAGTAAAATCAAAGAATCTGAATGCCACTGTGCCTTATGCTGGTTGGGCCATCCTGGATGTCATGATAAACCATGATTTATTGTTACATAATAAACCGTGGTCTCATCCACTACTCCTCTCCTCTGACAGGGTTGCAAAGGGGAGATCGGAAGCTTTCACTTCCATTTTTTGATTGACCTCAGTTTAGTGAACACCCAAACCCTAAATTGTGGCTAACCTTAAGTATGGTTTGTTTAAAAAATACAAGGCAGCTTCTTAACCATGGCTTAAATTTGGCTTGTTGCACAGAAAACCAGAGTTAAGATTAAGCATGGTTTGTTGGGCTGGTCAAAACAAGCAGCTGTGCTTAATAATCATAATAAAAAACAGAAGTGAAATATTCATATGACTGTGCCAGAGGGAGAGAGGGGAGGGGACAAGCATAAGGGTCAATGTGGCTCAATTCTGTCATGTAAAACAATGGTTTATGACAATGTCTGAAACAGCTCATTATGCTAAATCTTATGCAGATAACTTCATTAACCACAATCTCTGTTCAATTATGTATTTCAATCTATACCCTTGTCTGCAATTCAAAGAGTCAGTGAAGCAACACATGCATAATAGTTTCTTCTTCCTCTCACATACAGATGACTACACTGGGAAGTTTCAATCTTACAACAGGCCACCCGAAACTACTGGGCTCACAGAATTTTGGATATCTTGCTGTTAAACCGAGGCACCTCCCCCCCCCCTGAAAATTAATTAGATTTATGACAGCATTAACAGGTGATGGTTAATACAACTTCTTTCAAATTGGCTTTCTCCCATTCCTCATATATGAAATAGCAGACACAATCTTCAAGTGCTTGTGTTTCAGGGTAAAGAGGCGGGAGGCATAAATCAGCAGATGGAGAGGAAGAGCATATCAATGCAGTTCATATCCTGAGAAGCTACAGGGCCAACTCTTCTCATTGCTGTGTCAACATTTCACAAGTTCGCGCTCACAGCTGTTCTTCTGCCAAAGCTGCACCTCCCTCTTGTCCCCATTGGCATGCTTTTACCTAGGATGAGCTATGGCCTTGCTTGACACAGCTTTCATTTTTTCCTCATGTCTTTTGGCTATGATAAATCTCAACATGGAACTGAAGCAATATGGAGTTCATTTCAAAATACACAATCAAGCCATAAAAATTCAGGACCCTTCTGGAAGTGAAGTGGCATGACACAGAGCAGGCATTGTCCTGTTTGTTTGTCTTTTAGAGAGGGCTTAGTTATTATCAGGGTATCTAGAGTTTTATCCTAAAGGCATTCAATTTTTATTTAAAAATGGAAACTTGCAAGTCTTGTTTCTGTTAAGGTCGGGTTTTTTTTGTTTTGTTTTGTTTTGTTTTTGCATACATTGCATACATGCATGTGTGTAGGATTTTTCCTAAATAATTGGAAACCTGCTTTTATTTCATAATTTCTTCCGATTCTCTTCAGCATAATTCAGTACATGGGCCTTATTTTGTGCCAACTCCTATTGTTGTTGCAGTGGTGGTTGCCATTCATTGATCTCAAGAGTGTGCCTCCAGGGAAGAAGACAAACCACTGTGTTAGCAGCACTGACATGAACTCCCCGAGAGCCATAGGTTTGGTATCAGCTTGGCTGCAGGAGTTGCTGGAATGAGGAGAGGTGCCATCCAACTGTCTTAGGGACTCCATTCTGGATTGGTGTAGGCTTCTTAGCATTTTCTTCTCCCAAAGATATCTCTCAAGGCAACAGAGGTTTAGGATCAGAGTTTTCCTTCTCATAGATGATGAGCCCCATCTGCTCCAGCCTTTAAGTAATTAGGTACTAGACTAGAGGAACATGAAGCAAAACTGCTATGCTTGCCAGCATATAGCTAGAAGCCATACACACAACTCACGTTTAAAGGCACATGGTAACCTACCCACAAAGCTTAGTCACATGGCTCCTGCAATTCGAGTTCCTCAAACTTTAAAATTGCTGTTATCCACCCTAAGCCTTTAAGGAAACAGGGGTTAAGTTTTAAACAAATAAATTATAGTTCTAACAGCACAGAACCAACAGGGATCTCTTCCAAAATTACAATCTCACGTCACCTATGTTAATTGTTGCTTACTATGCCTTAGGATACATGTACAACCTTGAAGCAGACACAATTTACACAACTGAGATTAAAAATAAAGAAATCACGAGGCCGGAAAGAAGTGAATATTGTTGCATGGTATAAAAAGAAAGTAACAACTCTGAGCTGAAGACATTCCACAACACACTGAAGTAAATAATATTTGGGTCATTCAAACAATTTAACTAGCAAGCGTCGTGTTTCCGATTTTCTTAAATTTGGCTGTGAAAGGTTGCTTTAAAAGTTTCAGAATAAAGAGCCTAAAGGGCAGAGCTGAAAGCAGAGCTGAAGCACCAACATGTGCATAATAGAAGCACTGCCCAGTTTTTCAGCTGATCCTGAGGCTTCAAAGAGATGCTTCCAGATTCCTCAGCTTCTCTTCTATCATAAAGGCTAGAAGCACGCCTGAAAAATTTCAACACTGCGAAGGAATCACCTGATTCCCTGACAAAATGGCAGCTCCCAAGTCCAGCTAAAGCCTTATAAAACAACTTGGTGTTTTTTTACAACTGCACAATATTATCGGAAGGTATGCTAGCGCAGTCACAATTCTTATCTGTTCAGATAAAGCAGAAGATTATGGTCATATAAAACTTGTTTTGCTGCAATAGGTTTCATCAGATGATGCTTATACTTATACACCTTGGCACAAGGCTGTTTACAAGTCAACACAAGCAGGAATAGCAACACAGGCAGTGACAAAATTAAGTTCTAGTAAAGAGCTAGACTGAACACCTTGCAATATAAAGGCTATACAGTTTTCAGATAGGGATGTGTTGAAATGTTAGCCTAGAAATATTTTCAGGGCAAATGAGCCTTTGAGGGGTTCAAAATATTGCCCCAAACCTGCTTATTTTTATGGGTGGAGGTTCCCTAGCATTGTACACAGCTATTTTTTCTCCTGGACTGCAAATAATTCAGTACCATTTCTCTGCTCTGATATCTACTTTAGTGGTCCTAGCCAATTAGGGACCAGACAGTCAGTGTGATGATGCCAAAAGTAGCTGAGTTAGAGAAATGGCAATGATTTCTGGTCCTGTGGTCAATGCTAACTAACCAGGAACACACTGCCTCTCTAGTGCCACAAAAGGTTTGTTCTGCAGTTGCAAGAAATCTATCCTTTAATATGGAAGCACCCAACACTTGGAATTCCCTGCCCATTAATATTAGGCAGGAACTTTTACTGCATTTTTTGGCATCTGCTAAAAATAAATTTGTTTCAGCAAGCCTACCCAGGAATGCAATTTTTGCATGTGATTTCAGTAAGTATAGTTGTTGATAAAAAAGAAAATAACACCAGTAATTTTTAGTAAAATGTCACTTGTTTTTAATGTTTGCTTTTTTATATGTATCTTTTTATATATCATTATCCATGTTATATGTATTTGTCCTATGTGACCCTGTTGTACTATTATTTTCCTTATTTGATGAAACACTCAAATTTTAGAAACGAGAATATGCATTTAATGCCTGCTTCCAAGCCCCTTATGTAATTTCTTTCAAGATAGTGGAATGTCTGTGGATCTGTTATCTAATCACAGGAACACACAAAATACCAACGATTTAGCCAATCACAACAAAACAGCCAAGGAGCATGGGGTTTGAATTTATAATCGGATGAAACTTCATATCACTGTTCCTCTTTCAGCAGTTTTTTATTTTAACAGAAGCCAGCAGCAACAGAGCAAAATAGTAGGAGACAATAAGCCCTCCAGCCACTCTCCCTGCAGTCCTGCCTTTGATTTCATCACTAGCCCTTTGGAGAGAAGGATGACAGATCAAGGCAACAAACAAGAAAGGGGACCCAGAGGTTGGATAAAACATAATCACATGGGTCTGCATAAAAACAGCAACACAAACCAGCAGTCTGGAGACAGAAACTTCTTCACACACAAGAAGGGGATTTTCCTCTTCTTTCTGTTTTCCCCAGATAAGTTTGTAACCAGAAATTTTATAAACACAGCATTTTGACGCTAGAGAAAGGGTGGAAAGAGGCTGAAGCAAAGAACTTTGGTGCGGAGCGAAAAGAAGCTGCAAAAAAGGGGCAAATGATCAGATCACATGCAACTTGGGAGATAAGCTTCACCACTTTTCTTAACCGTCACTTAAGGTGTCAACTCCTTTCCAAGCACTGAATAGGAGGCCAGATGCGTATGTGCAAATGTGTGCGTAACAAATACATTCCTAGGAATTAGGACTTCCTCAGAGTGTATCCAAATCATGAGCACTCAGGCCTTTGGTTACTGCCCATCCCAATTTCCCATCTCAGACATAAATGGTAATGTTATGAATGTTCACTTGGCCTCTGCCTCCCCAGCTGCTTGAAACCTACTGGCACATGACCAGGGTCAGGAGCAAACAGCCAAACAAGCAACTCTTATAAGCAGCCTCAGGCACTTGACACAGCAGTCTCTCAGGGACTCTAGGAAACTGACTTAGGATGGCTGTTAAATCACTCTCTGCTTCCCTCTTACTTCCCACCTAGTAACATTATTTGAGATTCTGTTTGATACTTGACTTTTCTGGGAATGCTCAGTGACCTTCGGGGGTGAGAGAAAAACAAACAGGTGAATTGCATTGTCTCAAGCTGGCAGGCAACACCCTAGAGGTTTGCAACCTGTGGGGAATTTTACACTTTCATTTAACTGACCTTAATAGAAAAGCAAAATTCGAAGGGCTTAGGGGTGAAAGAGTCCAGGATATGAGTCAGCATCAACATTCATGTGCACTTGCACTGAAGGAAGAGTGGGTCATTAATCATATATATATGCAAAAGCCAGAGATACTCTGAGATGATAAGTAGCTGCATATACCAATTCCCATATCAGGAGGGATTACTTTAACAGGCTCATTAGTAGGGGTGGGGAACTTGTGGCCCACCCAGATGAAGCTGAGCTACAGATCCCAGGGCTGGCCCACCCATGAGGTGGACTGAGGCAGCTGGCTTAGGAGGCAGAATCCAAGGGGCGTCACTGCTGGAGAAGTGAAGAGAAGTGGCTTCTGGCGAGAACTTGTGAGGGTTTTCAAGAAATCTCAAGAGATCTTGCTGGAACCCACCACCATGTGATCCCCGGTAAGTTAGGCTACAGCTACTTTCCCATTTTGCCTCAGGCGGCAAAGATGCAATGTTTTGAGAAGCATTTCCTGTCTATCTGCTTCAGCCACAAGTGGCTGTTTGCTAAACTCAATTTCCCCCAAATCTTGATGATCTCTTCATCATGGCCCATGTCATGGTCCCCTGCAAAGTTTGTACCATCTTCTTGGCAGAGAAACATATGCATTAGGTGTGGAAGTCTACTTCACATTTACTAAACTGAACCCCTCACACCCTATAAATCAGTCATCTGGCATCATCACTTGAAATGAGAACAATGGGAAGTCTTATATGGTATGACGACTAGTTACTTTGTTTGGAGATCTAACTGGATCACCAACTTATAACTCTGTCAACATCCAATCTTATCACCCATCTCCCTGCAAAGCATTATCATACACTTTACTTGTAATGTTGCCAAAATGACAGGGACATAAACATCTGAATACGTGGGTCTCCTTACTCATGAGAAACATATAAGGAGCAAAATGTTATTTCTAATTTAATCATTGCCCCAGCCTAGCTGATATATTAGGAAGATAGTGTATAACTTACTTCCTTTCAGAAGATTCATAGCAAGAGCATGAGACTCTTGAGATTAGAACCCCACACCCTCTTCTGCTTCATTGGCAGAGCGATGCAGTATAAAATTAATTGAGCATAAATTTAGCTAACTCCATCTGAAGACAATTTAAAAGAGCTTTGGCTTATTTCTTATAGGGAAACTTTACTGTGAATTAGCCCAAAGGCATAATGGGAGCCAGGTAAATAGAGCAGGAAACTGGGGAAAGTTCACATAATGTCCTGGCAGATCATATCTATATTCATAAAATGCTGACTTCCAAACAGTAGTTACGTACAGCATGACCCTTAGAAATGGAGGATACAAACGTAATGTAAGAAGGGCCCTGTTGGATCGGGTCAAAGGCTCATCTAGTCCCCCATTCTGTTCTCACAGTGACCAACCAGATGCCTATGCAAGCAGGACCCTCCCCAGCTGTGACTTGGTCATCATGGCTAGCAGCCACTGATGGACAGTCAAATTTCACTTGGAAAACACTATGTATTCCTTACACTGTGTGTGGCGCTCTCTAGCACCTAGGTATTCGTTGCAAACACTGAAAAATAGCTGGGAAAATCGTTTACCTCCCTTCAGAGGAGTGGATTCAGATTTTACTGCTGCAAGTGGCACCACTCCCGAACATCTAGTTTCTGAAATGCATGAAAAAACAGGGCCATCGCATGAAGTGGACCTGCATTAGGAGGTGCATGTTGACTCCCACCCTATACACTATTGCAGTTTCTGGAAGACTAAGCTATCTATGAGATATATAAGAATTGCTGCCAGTTTTGCTGCTCCACCCAAGCAAGAGAGAAGCAAGGGGGGAGAAAAGCGGGGAGTGTTCAAAGTACAGACGTTAATACTATTTGCACTCTTTGATAGCTGTTTAAATTTACTAAGGCCTTATTCAGGTTTTCATCTGTTATTGCCTATTGTGAAGAACTGATTGTTGCTAGCAGATACCGTTTAATCATTTCAGCAGTTGTTTTGACTTGCAGTTATCTTTCAAAGGAATGGAATCAAAGTTCAAAGTGCTGTTGCAATTTCTCCACTGAAACGTGAACTTTTCTCAGCTGTGCAGGTGCAGCTGGAGAACTTTATGCACCGCATAAAGTGGATTACCTGGTGAGTCAGGCTATAATCAAATTAAAATTTTGGCTATGCTCCCCCTCTTACCAGCTGGCCTATGTGCTGCACAGGTTTTTTAAAGAACCAAAGTGAGTAACACCACTGCAGAGAAAAGTGAAGTTAAAACATCCAACACAAAATTTAAGGTTGCAATCCTAACGATGCTTATTTGCGAACACATTTGGTTGGAATCTGTAGGACCTACGTTGGAATAAATATAGCTCAATTTGGGCTACCTGTTAAACCTATCAACTGATTAATGAGCAAGTGGATAATAAAATCTGCATCTCAGCAACACAAATATATGTAACAACTCCTGCTGGATCAGAGTGTATGTAGTCCAACATCCTTGATTCAACTTTGGGCGATCTGGTTCTTCTGGGAAGTCTACAGCTGGCTATGAAGACAAAAGCCCTCCCCTGCTGTTCCTCCCCAATAATGGCTTTTTAATGCAAAAAGCACCGAGAAACCAAATCATACTTTGAGAGAACAGCTTTGCTCTTTCAGATCCTTTTTGTAGCATTTATATAACAGTACTACTGAGTGTTCACATATTTTGGGGCTTCAAGGCACGATGTCTCATTTATTGCTGTTCGTCTGTTATTTACTGTGCCAACAGCCTAGACTTGCATCTGAACAAACCTCTGTTTCTTACCTAACAAAGCGCCCAGAGCTTGTGGCAAAGTCTGAAATCTAAAGCATGCAAGTAAATGCTGCTGGGTTTCTTGTTTATTTCTTATGTAACAGAACTACACACACTGGGCATAGTTTTACTTCTGATTGCTGCAGGAGAGGGAGGGAGGAGATGTCGTCCAAGATTTTGTTATTTTATTATCTACCAGCTGATTTGCCAGAGATTTAGGAATACTCCATTTTAAAAAAAGGAAATGGGAGAGGGAGGGGAGTCATCTTTCATAGTAGCTATACTCTGCTTCATCACCAGCCTTTGTGATTATATCTGTCTATCTATATCTCTATATCTATACAGTGGTGCCTTGGGTTACATATGCTTCAGGTTACATACACTTCAGGTTACAGACTCCTCTAACCCGGAAATAGTACCTCGGGTTAAGAACTTTGCTTCAGGATGAGAACAGAAATTGTGCTCCGGCGGCGTGGCAGCAGCAGGAGGCCCCATTAGCTAAAGTGGTGCTTCAGGTTAAGAGCAGTTTCAGGTTAAGAACGGATCTCCGGAATGAATTAAGTTCTTAACCTGAGGTACCACTGTATGTCCTAACAACAGCTCTGTTACAAGCACTATTTATTAATCAAAGGGTGAGCAACAACTTCAGTGCAATAAAAATAAAAAATGTAAAAACCAAAACATATGTATCATCTCCCACCACTACCTCAGTGAGACTCACCAGAAGCCCACAAAACCAGAGCAGTTTCCATTGCACTGAATGCTGGAATCACTCAGGCTCCAGGGAAAGGAATAAAGCATGACCTGAGATACGAGGCATAACTAAACTAAAATGAACAAGGCAAATGTTTCTGTTCCACTTGGAATGGTTTTATGTGTTTTAGAATTGTAATTTTTTTCTATTATTGTATACCATGGTGAAGGAGTGGGTAAAAAAATCTAACAAACAAACAAACAAACAAACAAACAAACAAACCAGGTTTTAGAATATGTAAAGTGAAGATGGTAACAATTAAGCTTAAAGGATACCTGGATCTTAAAGGATCTGCAGCAATTGGTTTTCCTTTCAACAAGTCTGAACTTTGCACTGTTAAGCTGGGGGCAGAATCAGAGCAATTAATGTTGGCACTCAACATAAATAGCTGTTTAAAACAAGCTAAAACCACACTGCTTCAGTGCCAATGTTACAGGCAGCTTTAGAAGCAAAGGATATCTTTACATACATTTACTATATATTAAATACTTCTTTTTGATTCCTCATTGGGGCATTATATTGTTCCCTAATCTGTTTCTTCATAGGTTACTGATAAAATGCTACCAGAAAACATAAAAAAGATTGCATTGTGGTGGCAAGCCAGCAGTATCTGACAACATGTTGTTGCACACCATTCCAGTCTCTGAGTGGTGTGAGATTCCAGGGGTCCAGTTGCTTACCCAGGGTTCTTGTTTCCTTTGGAACTGAGGCACAGCAGAGACTGTGGTGTCTTTATGATAATTACACACATATACAACCTGTGCCTATGATGATGGAAGGGTGTAAAGCATTACACTCCAAGAGGGTCCTGTTTCTCTCATTGCTGCAGCCTTGGATGCAGAAAGAAATGATGTCTCTCTGACCCTCTGCTCAGCTTGCTGCATTTAACAGCCTGACACTTCTCTCTCTCTAGCCCATATCCCAACCAACTGCAATCCAAATACTGTACAACTCTGCTTTTTTCCTGCTAACTATCTCTCAGTGGAAGTGTGGGCTCACACCCATCTGCTGTCCAGCACAGCATATCTGCTTTGTTTGGTTGCCCATTACCTTTCTTTTGTTCTCCATTATGGCTCTTCTCCCAGGTGATTTCCTGAGCATTAAAAAACTGGTTTGACCTGTATTTTGACACTGCTAAATTCAACACCTGGCAACCCATGTTAAGACTCTAAGCACTGATTAAACTCCAAGAACCACTAGACCCAGGAATTTAGGGGAGGATCTGGCATCCACAAACTCATTACTATATGAACCTATGTTCATGAAGACATTGCAATAGGGAAAGGTTACGCATGCTGTCCTCACATGCATTAACAAAAAAGATAAAAGAAAACTTAAATCATGGCATGTAAATTGGCAACTATAAATTGGGTCCTCTGTTTGTCCATTGTCCTGCGGCTTACAGTGCAAATGAACACCATACTGCCAACAAAAGGTTACCAGGCATCACAGACTGCTGGATCACACCCAGACCAAATCACTGTCATCCTTGAACTTTTGACCTACTTGCATGATGTCAGAGCAAATAAGCAGAAGCTAGGATGAAAGCACAATTATTCCATCCTTACATGTTGGTTTAACACTGAACTTACTTTCTATTTCTTTTTCCCCAACTGCAGAAGCCATTTCTAGTTAATAAGTTACAGGCATCCTTGACCAGAAGAGCTATGACTGATTACCAGTCCTCTTAACAGATACTAATTCTGCAAGTTAACATAACTACACAATGGACATGTTTTACTTCTGAGGCAACTGGAGTGGGGGTGGGGAATGGCCTTCCAAATTTGGATGATTTCCCCCCATTTAAAACAGCCAAGAATTATCTCCCTGTCATGAAGTCTGGAGAGTACTTCAGAATAGAAAACAGAAATCAGTGTCAACAGTGGTTAAAGACAAACAAGCAGCAGCTGAGAAAAAGCCTGCTGTCAGAAAGCCGAACAATTTGGTGTGGGCAGATTTCTTCAGTACAGAATTCTATTTAAAGTGTTAAAGCATATTATAAAATCTGCACAAAATCAAAATATTTAAATGAACTACCATTAAAATGTGGCTATCCCAGTGTTGTATTTGTCAGAGTACAACTTAAAACCCTAATTCATGTGGCCTGATTTGCATGGACCATGGTTTAGAATTATTTGCAGACCAAGCCCAGTGCCTTAACTATAGCTTATTAACTATGGTTCATTAGTGGAGATAAGCCATGGATATTTGTTGGCTTACTGAACTTAACTATGATTTAACATTATGTGCAAACATGGGGACTTCCTTAACTATGCTTTAAGTGTGATTTGACAATCGAAATTGTCCACCAAGCAGAGACATTACGCAAGAGCAGCTGTAAAGCAAAATTGCTCTCAGTGCTAAGCCATTGTCACTGCCAACTCTGCCTGGTAACAATATCAGTTTCCCCACCAATGTGGCTTTTGTTTCACAGCTGCAACATGCATAGCAGAGGAAAACTTAAAAGGGACCTTTTTGAATTATTTTCTTAGTCCATGTTTGCACTGTTGAAAGACTGCACTGTTGAAAGATTGCAACTAAATGCAGCTTTATTACATGTCTCTTTAACCTGTAGGGAAGGGTTTCAAGTCACGTTTATGTGCCAGATACCTTCTGTTCATGGTTTCAAAAACAATTCACACAGGTAGCAGCAGACACAATAATCATGTCACACTTTCACTCCCTGAACAGACCTAGGTGAACTAGGATGCCAGTGTGTGCATTAAGCAAGGGTGTGCTTTGTGGTCTTTAACTCTCCCTAAATTTTCTATAAAGTGCAGCTGGGGAAATAAAGCCAATAAACATTGCAGCAGCAAAGTGGAGCAAGTAAACGGGTTAAGAAACTGTGTACTGCTAAGAACTCCAGGTATTTCTTTGATAGGGGAAGGTGGGGAATTAGCTGTTGACAACAGCAAATGAAGCACTCAAGAGAAAATTTCCACACCTCCTCTCTAGCAGCTGGCCAATGGGAAGGGGGTACTGTGATCCAGTGAGCAAGAGCAGGGTACTTCAATGGCTTTCAGGAGAGCAAGGAGAGGGAAGTGGGGGGAGGAAACAAGTCAATGAAAAACAAAACAGACCTAGGATTGTTTGTTTGGTTGGATGGTTTGTGGCTTAAGCGTGGCTTGTTTCACCAAATTCTGAGTTAATAAAACCATAGTTTGACTTAGTGTGATATATGCAGCCTGTGTATGAGGATGAGAAGTACAAATGATGCCTGTGCTCCTAGATACAAAATTTTATTTATAATTAATCCCCAAAAGCTCAAACACAAGAAAAACATAGACACTGCTTCAAGACAAGAAGCTTGGAATTCAGTTGCCTAAAAGAGAATTCACAGCCTTAAAAACCATAGAAGTATAAAAAAAAATGGACACCAGTATTGATAACTTCTGTTGAAATAGTGTGATCTTAAATCAAAGTGAGATACAGAAGAATGGTGTATCTTGTTTTCCCTGCAGAGCTTTGCAGACATCTACTAGCTCAATCATCAGCAGATAGATATTTGTTCTTCTGAAAAATGATAGCTTGGTTTTTCAAGACAGATGACAAATGAAGTTTTGCAGAATTCTCTGATGTTTATAGGCGGTGCATGGAAAATTACAGAAGAGTAATTGACCAAACACAGCATGTCTGCCTGAGGACAGGACTCCTCCCAAGACACAAGCACACACAATTTCATTCAGTGTTCCCCTTGGCATGGAGAACAAGGATTGAATATTTTAGAGAAAATGGAAAAATATCCTGGGAAATCAGAACCACTGTTGTGGCAAGACAACCTTCTCTTTTGTGGGGTGTTATTTTAAAAGAAGAATCTTTCCCCTCGTGTCAGCCCTTTTCTACTATATGTATTTCAAAACACTGCAATGACGCCAAACTGGAGAATTCAAAGTACAAAAATGATTTGGCTTTAAAACAGTTAGCAAGATGGCTCACTTTATAGACCTAAGTCCGCCCCCCCCCCCCAGGCCACACTCTTAGTATTTTATGAACAAATAAAATTCAAGTGGTGTAAGTATTTAACAGAAATGAGAAAACACTCTAAACAGCCACATCAAGGGCTATTGGTTGAAAGGCAAAGTATACTACTATAAAATGTAAATATAAATAAAAAGGCACACAGTCAATACTCATGCAAGCTAACATATTTCAAAGTTAGTTAACCTGATGTGCCAAACAAACCCACACACAGGCTGCTGCAGGAGGTTTCTGTTCCTGAAAGCTCTGGAATCTTATTAAATTCTTAAGAACAACAACAATGGACCGCAATTTCGATCATTGTTCCTCCTAAAAAATTACCTAAAGCTACCATCCTGTGCACGCTTACTTGGGCAAGCCTTATTGACCCCAGCAGTATTTACTTCCCAGTTTAGACTACAAGTATCTAAAGCAAAGCTGGCTAGCCTGTGACCCTCTAGATGTTGCTGGACAACAACTCCCATCATCCCTGATCATTGGCGATGTTGGCTGAGGCTGGTGGGAGATGAAATGAAACAACATATGGAAAACCATAGGATGCCCACCCACTAAACTAGACCTCACACCGAAACTAGACACACTCCCACTCAAAGAGAGGAGGTATGTGACTCACATGCTCCGCTGTTGACTCCACTTGTAGGTACAATACACTGAATCTACAAAATCTTTATTTTCAGCTGGAAACAGCAAGTTCATCATTTCATAGTGAGTTTCCATCTAGTTGTCCTACATGTAAACCAAACGAAATCCAAGAGAACATCCATCCCATATAATTAAAAAAGGAAAAGCAGCTAAACACACTATCCAAGCTAAACAAACTATTGCCAAACCAGTAACTGGTTACTGTGTCATGAAACAGCAATTTAGATAACTATTTTAGAGGAGTCATTAAATAATTCTAGTTAAAGAGACATGTTCAGTCAACACAGATGGTTTAAGAAACAGCATGGATAACTGGGGGGGGGGGGAATCTTCCCCACCCCAATGTACTGTAATCTGCTTTTGATTCTGCACAACAAGCACACTGTCTTACAGTGCAAAGAATCTGGAGTTGTAACACCAGTTGCGTTGCATGGGTGATACAGTGGTGCCCCGCAAGACGAATGCCTCGCAAGACGGAAAACTCGCTAGACGAAAGAGTTTTCCGTTTTGGAGGTGCTTCGCAAAACGAAGCTCCTATGGGCTTGCTTCGCAAGACGAAAATGTCTTGCGAGTTCCTGTGGTTTTTTTCCCCTTCCCCCCCCTTTTTCTAAGCCGTTAAGCCGCTTATCTGCTTATCCGATAAGCTGATAAGCCGCTAAAAGCTGCTAAAAGCCGCTAATAGCGCTAATCCGCTAATCCGTCAATGGGCTTGCTTCGCAAGACGAAAAAACCGCTAGACGAAGAGACTCACAGAACGGATTCTTTTCGTCTTGCGAGGCACCACTGTACAGTTTTAGTTCACATGTGAACCTGTACATGGAAATTATACCTCATTTTCAGTCTGTGTTTCTTTTTGGGTTGCATCCTATTATCTGCTTCCACTGGTTCCTCATTTTTAATCCTTAACTGCAAGGCTTTTCAGTTCTCAAGAGTGGGATATTAAACTTTATAAACAAACAATAAACTTTATAAACAAACAATAAAACTCAGTAGCATCATCCCAGTTCTTTCCCAACACTGCTCCAGAGGATTTTGTGGTTGCGGGTGGTAGCAAGAAGCACACCCAATTCTGCACAGCTGGTCTTCAAACTTGCTGGATCACGTATGTGTGTGTTTCATACATGGATCTGTGTACCCAAGTAGAAAAAGTGAGGTTCTGTTTTAAGGCTGCTGAAGGAGGTAGAGAGAGATGCCTCCTTGCATACCTTCACTTTAATGGCACAAGACCCTGAAAATGCCAGCATATTCCATATGTAAGTTCCATATTCAGGAACTTACATTTTTCAAAAGCTTAACTAAGGCACAAAATAGAGCCTTTATAATCAAACTTTGGTTATCCGAGTCCACATAAAAGACAGGGCCTTATCTGGCCCCACTCTGATGTGGTCAGGAGGACTGCCAGAAATAGAGGATTAGTGGTAGCACTGAATTGCTCCCTAAAGCTTTGGTGTGCTCCATACAGCCCAAATCAGACCTAATGCATAGTATTCTCATTGAGCGAAACTTCGGCTAATTAAAGCACGAGATGTTCTCATCTTCATGCCCCTGAGAGTTTAGATAAAATGAAGCTGAATGAGAAGAAAGAAAAAGCTGCTTGGACATTTAACAGTGCTGCTCTCAGTTTTATGTGGTTAATAGCCCTAAATTGAATTATGTTAATTTAATATAATTTAAATACAGATTAATGTTGAGGCTTTGACACATAACTTGCATTAAAAGTGCAAAGGTTTGTCTAAACTGCATTTGGATACCAAGGTGTAACTTATGGGAAAACTGAACAAGTTTGTTTCATTATAATTAGTAGGACAGTCAGTCTTACAGTGCAAGCTAATGATATCTACTCAAATGGAAGTCGTGTGGAATTCAATAAGGCTTAGGGCTTATAAACATCCATCTGCAGAAAACCAGAATTGACATTTGCTCTGGTTTAGCTGTACAGAGTGATTTTCCTGAGGGAAGCTCAGGGCTAAATAAATAAATAAATAAATAAATGCTTGGAGTGTTAAAGCATGGACTTCTGCTTGGAAAGAGTGAGGCAAAAGGCAAGTGAGGATGAGCCCTTAGTCTCAGGTAAGTGGGGCTAGAACTTAACTAACACAAATCTGTTATTTGTCAGGAGGTTTTACTCTGTTCTGTCTGGAAAGAGGATACACTATTTCAAGGATGTAGTTTGAGTTCTAACTGCCATTTTCTTAATTTCTTTGAACTTCAATATTTGGGGGGGGGATTTGCAAAGAATGCTATTTAAGGTCTGGCTCTGTGTAAAATAAACCTACTTCCTGTGCTGTCATGGGTTCTAGTAACAAAAAAAAACCACGGAAGGCAAGAAAAAGGAAAGGGGGGTTTCCGTCTGTGGTTCTTCAGAAAAGGTAACATGTAACCAGCTACAAGTCTCGATATGATTGCTACAGAAACTTTTTGAAATGCTGTTATCGTTCTTACAAAGACACAAACAGGCTAGTCAAATGCCATAATATGTAAATTCCTTCCAGTAGCACCTTAGAGACCAACTAAGTTTGTTATTGGTATGAGCTTTCATGTGCATGCACACTTCTTCAGATACACATGAAAAGCTCATGAAAGCACAGTACTACAATACTGTCTTATTTATTTTATAGTACAGTACATTGATTATTGCTTTCATTTTATAGATCAATGGTCTCGTTGGATAGTAAAATTCATGTTAAATTGCTGTTTTAGGGGTTGTTTTTAAAAGCCTGGAACAGATTAACCCGTTTTGCATTACTTTCTATGGGAAAGCACACCTTGGTTTTGGAACGCTTTGGTTTTGGAATGGACTTCTAGAATGGATCAAGCTTGAGAACCTAGAAAGTGTTTCAGTGTACTATTAGAACCAAGCCTTACAGTGACAAGTGAGCTTTGCAATTTCTTTACATTAATATAAACACCAAGACTGCATATGCACAAGGACTGTGCCACTGTGATACTGTACCTTAATGCAATCACATCCTCTAGTTAGTAGCATACCACTAACCCCATGGTGGAGTGCAGTATTGAACAGTCTTGCTTTTAGCACTGGGTTGTGCCTGCAGGATATATTTCTGCACTCAGAACTTCAGGCTTCACACAAATTGTTGCTGCTTTGTGGTTGGGCTTCATATGGCAGGTTTAGCTGCATGTGCTGATAAGCCATTCAAAGAACTAACATGATCTGCTCTTACTAAGATCTGTATTAGATGCAGGCAGCTAAGAAAGGCAAACGTGCCCTTGAAAAATATGACCAGGAGGACGCATTTTGCTGGAAGCAGCAAATTTCTACTAATTGCTCTCTTTTCTCCCTGAACTCAGTTTCTGTAGCTTTTACATCTGCTTAGTACAAAAATAAATAAATATTACCCCTCCCCACCTCAACAGTGCAGGAAACGGCTGTCTCAAACTTCTTTCTTTTAGCCAATTTTGTATTTTCAGGAACCACTGAAAATGTAACACCCTTCTTTTGAAACAAGTGCAGCTGCAAGCACTGTTGCATCATAAAGCCTGAAACTGGATCGACTCAATGATGTGTGGGCCAGAAAAAGGAGAGCAGCTGTTGGGACTTCTGTCCAAGTAAGCAGCTGTCCATATTGGAGGAGGTCTGGATAGGCATTCTTAAGATGTCTGTAAAATGGAAGCTTGGCTACTCCCTAAACATTTCATGTTACTACTACTATTACATGATTGACCTTAGCTGTACATCTCAATTGGAGAAAATATGTAACGCTGCTGCATATATTCAGAGGTGGATTTAGGGGAGCACGACCAGTTTGCCCACACTGGGGGCAGAGCTGAGAGGGCGTCGCAACAGTGACTTATAGAACGTATGTTGAGAGGCGGTGTGTGTGCGCACCAAATTTTGGCGTTGCACAGGATGCCACTGAAATTTGAAAGCCCAAGTCTGCCACTGATACATTTCCGGGGGGGGGGGGGGCAGTAAGGAAAATTGGAACTATGTGTCAAAGTCTCTCTGGAAGTTTTGACAAAATAGCTAAGTCCAGGAGTTTGTGAGCTTGCTACAAACTGCATTCCCTCTTAAAAAATGGCTACATAGCTTTCAGGTCCTCTTGAATCCATCTTTGTCATTGTAGGACCAAGCAACCTCTTTGGCAAGGAGCACCTATCATCAACTTAGACTGGTGTACCAAGTATGTCCTTTCCTGAACAGGGCTAGCTTGGCCACCATGATCCATGCATTGGTATCCTCACAACTGCACAACTGTAATGTGCTCTCTTGGGGGCTTCCCTTCAGACTGGTCTGGAAGCTGCTGCTGCTGCAGGATACTGCAGTGAAGTTGTTAAATGCAGTACTTGGATATGCACATATCACATTATATTGGGGAAACTGCTCTGTCTGCCTATTCGGTACTGGACTATCTTCAGTGTGTTGTTACTAATACCTAACTAATACCAAGGCATTATTACTGAACAACTTGGGACCAGATTAAAGCAGGTTTCAGGTAAATGAATTAAGTAAATAATGGATTGCATAGTGCAAATGGCAGAAATAGTAGTTCTCTCAGGCATTGTCCTAGAGCTGAAGATATCTCAGTAGTTATTTCCAAGTTTCAGGAGGAGTTAATGTTGCTTCAATTCCACCTAGAGTGTACAAGATACTTACACATTTACTTGGATATAGATGTTGTGCTTCTTCTTCTTCCTTTTCTTTCTTATGTCTTTTTTAAAGTACCCAGAAGCAAATCAAGGGTGGGGTAAGAGACCGCTCTGGCAAAGATAGCATCCTGTTCTTTGTAAGAAGCCACAAACTTGTTGTTCACATTTAGGTTTATCTAGGCTTCCTGCAGCTGCTTCTTCCCACCCCCACCCCTTATCCAACTGGGACAATCAATGGTATGTATCTTGAAAGGTCATGATAGCCATTGTCCTTAATTCACTGTCTGAAATATAACTGGCTCAGCTCTTGGCCAATCTGCTCTAGTGTATGTCAGACAGAAGTTGGAGTGAGGGTATCAAAATAGTAGGAATGTAAAATGTAATATGGCTAGCCCTACAGACCTCTACATATGTAGGCTTTCCACTGAATATATCTACACATCATGCATGAAAGGGGGCTTATACTAGTCATGGGGTTGAGAGACAGAGCTTATCCAGACAATGAAGTCATGCTGCTACTCCATCCTTTTGGAGATAGTCCTGCAACTCTTAATTCAAAGACAAGTTTTCATTATATAATCAATAAATACAAAAGATGCCAGGAGTCATCTTGCTGACCTCCACTCTTTTTTTAAAAAAGCTGGATGACTTGTGCTCCCATATATGATAGGGAAAGCAGTCACATTCCAAGGAATAGCAAATTAGTTTCACAGCAAATTCTGTATTCATCTTAATTTACTTCAGCCCTTACACCCCTCCTTGTAGGCAGGATCTTGGTGTTACAGTCCTAAATGGCATATGCATTTAGGAAATAAGATGTCCATGGCATTTGCTGAGCTACATAGAATATTGCAAACTGTCCTGTGATCCTTGGATGAATGGCAGTATATGCATTTTAATAATTATAATAATTTTGACAGCACTCCAAGTTGCAATGGCTCACTTGCTGAGGAAAAAAATCTCATTTGCTCAACAACAATATAAATGCTTATTGAGTGGTGGGGGATGGATGGGGAGAAAAGAAAGCCATTCTACAGCTTCTTGCTATAAATGAAGGTGGAAACATTCCTCAAAGAAAGTATGCCAGGAGCTGGGACACTTTGGCCCTCCAAATGTTGTTGGATTACAACTTACATCATTCCATCATTCTTGACCATCGGCCATGCAAACTGGGACTGATAGGAGTTATAGTCTAACAATATCTTGAAGGCCACAGGTTAAACACTGTTATTGGGAGTGTGGTGTGCCTGCTCCTCTCTTCTTCCTCCATCAGCAACAATGCAGATGTTAACATCTGTTTAATTCACATAGCAATATAACATGTAATCAAGTTCTTGTTGAAAAATAAATTGGTACGTGACAAACGCTATAGAGAGAGAGGCGGAGGGGAGGGGGGAGAAAAAGGAAGACAAGAGGTGCACAGTTTCTAATTTGCGCAAGACACAGAACCAAGGAAATGATGCAACAACCTACTCATGTTTCTGTGACTCAGTGGTTGTTCATAACATGAGTAGGGTGATGTGCTTTAGTTGCACTTCAAGGGTCTGTGTCTGGAAATATGGAACCCAAAATTTTCCAGCAATGACAGACACCTACACAGGAAGGCATTGGGGTGCATCCTCAACTTCCTGTAACTGTTTTTACTCCAGGGAAGAAAGCACTTTGCTTCCATTTTTTTGAAAATAGGGTCTTGTCCCATTTAGTTATTAATACTAGTTTGGCAGTTATGCCAGGAAGGAAGAAAACCTGCTCTCAGCCAATTCCACTTTCCAGGAAATAAAAATTCACAAGTGTCTCAGCTGTTTCACTCACCAAAGTGTGTAAAGAGTTACTGGCTACTTATTTTTTGATGTTTGGAAGTATAACTCCTATTGGACACATGCTATGATTCTTGGCTAAACAATTTTACACAATAGGGTAGCAGGGACCTCTCCAATGCATCCTTGAACAACAACAAAGTAAAGAAAAATGGCAAGCAAACAAAATTAAATGCAGGATCTGCATCTGAGTTCCAAGCTGATCAACTCCATCAAGATTTAACACACCCAATTAAGCCATTTTGCATCCATAACGATTTTTTACAATCATAATTTTTATGGCAGCCTCTCACTTCAGTTTCAAAAGTCAAAGTCATGTCAATACATGAGTAATCAGAGGCTGAGAGTTTTCAACTGTTTCAGAGGGAATATCTACAAAGGCTGCAGGGTATATTGCCAAAATACACAGGTCTTCTCTCAAATTTTCAGGATTAACAGATCCATTATGGCCTAAGTTTTTGTGTCTACCTCCTCAGGCATATGAACTACTATAATCAGTTGGAAGATGTGCGAGTATAGGAACGAAGGAAGTTGCAAGAAAAAGGGCATGAAATGCAAAGGGGTAGATTTTGTGATTGCAGTACAGATGTGAAATGTAACAAATTATCTTGTTAAATTTCTGCTGCATGTATTTAGTGTTGAGCATATATTGCTGGATTGTAATAAAACCTCTAAGCAGTTAAGGGGGGAGGCAGGTAGCTAAGCTTTGAAATAGCAGTTCTCACATCACCAGTTAGTAAAGACTTGTCCTTCCCTGTACAACATATGAGCTTTTTAAAAATTCTCAGCAAGCGTACTTCAGAGTAACCCTCAGTGAACCCAATGGGAACAGAAGGTTCACTTACTACAGTACAATGCAATGAATTTATGTGCGCTACCATATACATGATTTGCATCACCCATTCTTGCAACCTCCCACCAATCCTCTGCATCCAGCCAGTCCCTGATACAGGGGTAAATATCAGATGTAATAGAAGCTATGGTTTCGCACTATGTGAATGTGTATCCAGTTTGCACCTTTACCCTCCTCTCCCTTCCTTGGTGTGCCTCTGAGTTGGAGAAAAACTTTTGCTTGCAGTTTTTTAACAAACCACAGTTCCTCATTATGTCTGAATTCATGGAACTGTGGATTGTTTGTTTAGTGAAAATAAGCCAGAATTAAATCATGATTGCAGATCCTGGTTTGTTCTAACAAATGTAAAACTTTAGTCAGGACAAAACAGAGAACTGTGCTTAGTATAAAACTGATCTCCTCATGGGTGCAAAAGAGGAAGCAAGCACAATGTTCACTGTGGTTTATTCATAAGTGAAGACCATTAAGACTTAATTAGGCCTATGTGTGTTCTAAATCATAATCCCAGAGCTGGTTCAAGCTTCTGCCTAAAGCAAAGGACAAGATGGCACTCCCTATTCCATGTACAGAAGCTGGCTGGACTGGCATTTGAATTTTGCTTCAATGTTGGTGATAGAGTTACACCTGAGAGCAGCAGACTAGCTTAGTGTGCAGGGCTCTGCCCTCCAACACCATGCTGCCAGTCTCAGAGTTGGCTGCTTCACTGTGCTCAATGATAGAGCCAGCGCTGCACATTCACGGGTCAGCAGTAATCCACACTTCTCACTACTTCCATGCTAGCCCATGGAGTAGCACTTTGTGCAGCATAGCAGCATGATGGATGCTGCAATGTCAGGAGAAGAGGTAGAGTCAGGTCACAAGAGAAGTGACAAATATCCCCCTAAACTGGGTATTTTATCTCAGTTGCATCCTCAGCAATGAAGAACTCACATATACAGCCAGACCCTATTCATGTTTACTTACATGTCAGCTTACTCCCAGCTAAATGCATGTAAGATTGCAGCCTATGAACATTTAGTAACTTTGTGCAATTTCAAATTAAAACATGAAGAGCCCTAACTAAAAACAGGATACAAAAAATAGAAACCTGACATGAGACTTCACTGTAATATAAGGAGTGGAGAGAAACAGATAACAGTACATACAAGACAGAGTACGGTTGGGGAAAACCAAAGGCAAGTGGAAATCAATGAAGGGATTCAAGCATGGGCACAACATGAGCAAAAGGGGAAGGAGATAGATGTACCAGCAACATTTCTGAATTCTGCTGAAGAAGAACTTTGAAAAAGAAAGAGGAAGTTCTAGCCCCTTGAACAGGAAGCCTCCGAAACTTTCGCCTATAGGAACATGCAGCAATGATTGTGCAAGATCAAGAAGCATATTCTGTGTGCAACATCTTATACATGGAAGGCTAATGATCATAGCTTTACAGTGTTATAAAATTTGGTGACAATGACCCCTCAGGCAAAATGCTGAGAGATTATTTAGCTCAACAACTACACAAAACCCATTTGTAATGTTGTGCAACACACACGACTAACAGTGTAACCAAACCTGAAATCTGAAACAATGAAAAGGGAGGTAAATGCCAACAGGTTTTCTTGAATTTCCATCCCATGCTGAAGAGATACTTTTCAGGTTGTTGTTGTTGTTTTAAAATAAACTTGATTGATTTTCCTCTAAAGCCAAGCAACTAGTTCCTTTGAAAACTTTGAAGAAACCACCAGCTGCATGCATCATTCTTCCATGTGCCCACAAATAACTTCCACTGAGCTGCACAGTAGTTGAGTTTTTATAATGTGAAGTCTGTCAAGCATCTCCCCATGTGGTGGGTGTGGGGCAAAAAAATACAAGTCCACAAAGAACAAGCAAACACCAAGTTTATGATCCACTGCCTTAGATGACAGTCACATCAGTCACCAAGGGACCAACAGAGATATAAAGTTACAGAAACCCGAAAATCAGTAGTGACAGCACAAAAGAATTTAAACCAAAAGGTTACTTAGCTCACCCTCACACTAAAAGAGGGGTTTTCTGCGATAACCATCAGCCATGACTACCCCAGTTCACATTACGGAATGTTATCCCAGTGCATCCAGTGGTCAGAATATTTTCATTTTGACTTCAATAAAAGCAATGCTATATGATAACAATGAGTAAATTAATTGTAAGCCCGTCCTTCCTTTTTTTCAAATTGGAAAATTGGATCCATTCCATGTATCCCCAAAACAAGTGAAAACAGATAGACCATGGAATACTCCAGTCATGTATAAATTGATTGACCCTTATTGCATAACCCTCTACAGTTATATTAACTTCAAAGTGATTAAGCACAGGAGGAATAAGATATATACCAACTTCCCTTTCAGTGGAAGCCCTGCACACAGGCTTTTCACCTCCCCACAATTGGCTTGGGTTTGTGTGTGTCAGAAGAACCTCCAGAACAGTGCAGGGGGGTGGAATCATTTCATCTGGCAAACCTTCTGCTTGTGCAGATGGAACGTTTGTAATAGCGCACGTTTAATTCCACCCACAAACACTAAGAACATAAAGAAGAGCCCTGGTGAATTTCCTACCAATCAGTATCATCAGATAACCCTGGGTATTAGGAGGGAGTGTAGAAATACTTCTCTGTCTTCACACCATTCTATACCTCTATCATGTGCCCCCTTCTGTACCATTTCGTCAGATGTTGCAACCTTTCCACATAGGACAAATGTCTCCAGGCCCCTGAGCATTTCCGTTGCCCTTTTCAACTTCAGCAGCAGATGAAAGTGCATTGAATACGCCAGAAGAACAAGCTTTTCTAAAAACACACACACACCACAGAATGCCTGTACCTTCCTGTATTTCATGACATTTTGGCCTCCCTCTTTCATAATTTTCCAGCTATATCTGTATATGTAATACATGCATATATGCCAGTTATTATAACATCATCAATGCACATGGTGCTTTACAGGGTACAAAAAGGGTCAGGTCCCTGCCCTGAGGAGTTTACAGTTACAGGAGCTTGCAAAACTGACAATGCTTCATGCATAGGACAGACAAAAGCTGGTCTACAAAAGCTTATGCTGCAATAAAGAGTAGCCTTCAAAGGTGCTGCAAGACTCTGTTCCAGAATCAGTAACATGTCCACTGCTATATACTACTAGAAGTTCAGTGAGGATTCAACCTAAATGATATTTTATGCAGCTGCAACAAGAATCCTGCAGTTCTTTATTTTACTGTCTAGCCTCACACTCTGTGCAAGCCAGAGCTTAACAAAAGTGCCAGGCAAACTTTCCACATAATGGAGCTTATGAAGCATATAAGAAGAGACAGGCAAACAAAGAAAAGGATCAAGGGCAGGAACTATTCAGCATCATCCTTTGTTTCCGGATCTCATGTGACTCAATCAATGGGGCTCCTGCAAGTTGAGCTCTTTGAGGACTGGAATCTTTCTATTCACATTCAGATCTACCAGAGTATCCATACTGAGCTGATAATGAGAAAACATTCTAGAGAAGCTATAAGTTGCAGGAAGGAATATTTCCCAGTGAATTAATTTAAACAGACGTTCACCTTTGAACTTTCAAGAGGAGAAAATTCATGCACCCGCACACAGCTCAGTTATCCAGATGCAAAGCATGAAACAGGTGTTTTGCTTATTACTGTACAAGCCTTGCCATTCAAATATTGAAAGAAAACTTAAAACTGCACAATGTTTCAAGGACACATCACAAAGTTTTCCCCTCTCTCCCTGTTTGCACTCCCTTTCTTTTTATAATCTCTTCCACGCTTTTCACCTGCTCACAGGCTTAAAAGTTGTACTGATAACATCTGCACATTTGAAAAAGAGGAAACGAGAAACTAAGCACCTGCTGCTGACATAAAACAGTACAAAACTGTGCTGGGCCTGCCCCTTAGAAAAGTCACAATAACAGCCACCGGCAACGTATGACTGAGGAGGAGTTTACAGAGGGGAAGGAGTGTGACAAACCAACTGAGTCTGAGCACTCTGGGGAAAGTCCAGTTCTTAAACGCTGCTTAAAAGATAAACGCGTTTGTATGTCGAGAGGGTACAATGAGAGGGCTCCGAAAGGGTGGGGAGAATGAAATAAAACGACTGCTGTTACAAGTGAGCTTCGCGTTGAATGCCACATTTAATGTGTGTGTCCCCCCCTTCAAAGAACGATTTGTTCTGCAAACACATACTCCCAACCTCGGATCGCTCCTGGTGCTCATCTACTGTACTTTGAATTTTGTTCATGCATTGTTAGGCTTGTGCAATTTAGGGAGGGAGGAGGTGCAGGGTTTGAAACGCACCGACAGAGCTAAACAATAACCCATGCTTTCATTCAAAGGGTTGGCTCCTTCCCCCAGGAGGAACACAATGATGTCCCCCGTGTAAGGGGGGGGGGACTCTCTCTGTGTGTATGGGTGGGTGGTATTTCCCCTTTTTATTTCGTGTGCGGGAGGTGTGCGCTCATGTCCTCAGGTGCCATTTGCTTAGGCTTATAATACAGTACTCTTTGAAGTCCTCCGCTTTGGAAGCCTCCAACGTGACCGTCGGTTCACAGAAGGTGGACAAGCCGCCACACTCCAGCCCAGCCCAGCGACTTCTCCATCGGATTTCTTTCTGAAGAGCAGCTTTTTTTCCCCCGCTCCCAAACTCACCTGCAGGATCTTGTCCAGCCCTTCCTGGCCCAGGCAGGGGAAATCCTTGAGGAGTTGCGTTTTCTTGTCCTTGTAGCTCTGCGTCGCTTGCTTCCAGTAAGGCTGCTCCAAGACTTCGAAAATCGCTGCTCCGATGGACAGGTAGAAGATGATCGCGGACGTGAGCAGGGGACCCCTGTCGACCATGGCGGCGCCCAGTGGGGGACGCTCAGCGACAGCGAAAAGGAGAGGCGGCCGCCGGGATGTGCCTGGCGAGGGAAGCGGAGAGCAGACCTGAGCTCCCTCTGGAGAGAATGCGAGGGACTCTCACGCGCTGCCTTGCCTTAGCCTGCCTGCCTCTGCTCCCCACCCCTTCCTCCTCCCCGAAGCCCCTCTTCTTATTTGCCTCTCACTTCATTCTGCTCTCCTCCCACCGTCTCCTCCTCCTCCTCCTCGTCGCTTCCCCCCACCGAACCATCCGTTCTTCCGACGGTCCTCCTTTCTCTGCCTGCGTCTCTTTCGCTGTTTGAATTTGGTGCCCTTCTGCTCCCCCACTCTCTCAACCAGCGGCGCATGCGGAGCCGTTACCGGTTGGCCGGTGGTGGCGGCGGCGGCGGCGGCGGCGGCTCCGTTCTCCCGCCTCAGAGACGGAGGCAGCGGGGAAGCCTCATTCAGCCCGCCTGTGTCCCATGTGGCGCGCGGACTCCGTGTCCCGGCGCGTTCCGTGGCAGTGGCGGTGGCAGCAGCGGAGGGAGGGCGCCGTGGTCGCCACGCCGCGCGCGGCAACAGCCGTCTCTTTCTCCGCTTCTCCCAGCCCGCTCTCTCAGCACGGAGTGGCCCCGGCCCGCCCTGAGAAAGGCTATTTAGGAGCGGAGCGCCCGCCCTGCGCGGTGCCAGCTCGTGGAACGGTCAGAGCTAGCTGCTGCCACCGCCTGGGCGGGGTGAGCTGCGCTCCTCGGCAGTTAAGCGAGGTGCTTGCTTGCTCTTACGTTGACCTGGGTGGGAGCTTACGTCAAGTGTGTGTGTGTGAGTGTCTGTCGTCTGTCTGTCTCTTTCACTCTCATATTCCCGCCCTCCGAGGGCTGAAGGGGAAAAAAAGTGGATTTAAAAGTTTTTTTTAAAAAATGTAGATTTAAAAGTTCAAAAGGGTAGCCACGTTCGTTATCTCAGATAAAATGATCACTCTGGAGCTGAAGCTCATCTGTATGCTTTACGCAGTGCTGGAAAAGGAATGATGATGATAATGAATAAAATAAAATAAAATAAAATCCTTTATCCACAGATCTCAGGGCACAAGAATACAAGATAAAAACACAAAAAGTAGTGGCCAGGCCTGGTTCCCTTGGCAGCAGTGCGTTTTGGTGGGGGCCTCCATGCTGCACCCCAGTCCTTGCCCCACCACCAAGTGACAGAGGGCTATCTCCCTCCCTTTCTTTCCCCTTTTCCGCTCAAGGAGCTCAGGGCAGTGTACATGGTTCTCCCCTCCTCCCTTTATCCTCCCCACAACCCTGTGTGGTAGGTGAGGCTGGGAGGCCGTGGCCGGTTTAAGGTCACCCAGTGAGCTAATGCCGGTTGCCCCGATCAGAGTCCATTGCTAACCTACACCATGCCGGCTGCCAAATAATAATGGCGGGTGGGGTTGCCTTCCTCTAAGCATGAGTGGGTTAACTTTGCCCTGGTTCAGCTTCCCAAAGAGAGAGTCCAATCACCTATGGCTGCTCGCTCCCCTCTGTCTCTAGGGGGTGGGTGACAGGCATGTTGCATCAAGTGCAACTGATACCCAAAGATTCTGCTTCCCCAGCATCTCTTACAAATTCAATGGTGGCTGGTGCTCATTGAGACTGGTGGCATGGGTGTAGTCAGGATTTATGTTAAGGGGGACAGGCATCATGTTAGGGGGGGGCATAACCTCAGTTAGTTTAGTATTTTTATTGATTTACCTGTTTTAGGGGGCAGCTGCCCCCCGCCCCCTCCCTTGGCTACGCTCATGACTGGTGGGATAGAAGGCAAGGGTGCCAGCAGGAGGTTGAGCTAGAGCCAATGACAGGCAGAAACAACTGGTCCCCAGTTTTGTCCCCAACCTCCTCCTTGTGACTTCTAAAATTTCAACACTGGGATGAAGGAGGGGAAAGCTCTCAGTCAGTGCCACCCCCCTAGACTGGGTGTCAGTACAGTTGTGGCAGAAAACTCTCAGGTCCCTGCACAGCTTCCCAAGTGTCCCTAGAAAGATTGGCAGCCCAAGCATGCTTTGGCAGTTGAGTCAGTGCTGAAGCAACAGAAGGCTACAATCCTATTCGCATTTAACATGTTAGCAAGTCCCATAAATTTAGTTACCATATTTGTACCCTTTGGGGGAGCTTTGAGGTTGGCTCAGTTTAGCCTCAGGACTCTGTGATGGCATATTTTCCAAGGCTACCCAGTGAGCTTCGTAGATGGCACAGATTTGAACCCAGATGGTCTTGTTCCAAATTCAGCACTTCTGCGTAAACACAAATTAGAACAGCATGTAAGTATATCTTTAGCATGTCTGGATGGTAACCTGAATGTGTTAAGAGATAATGAGTAGAAAATGAGCCTTCAAATCACAATATGCATAGTCCAACACAGTTTTGTTTCTTGGTCTAAAGCCTCTCACACAAATTATTTTTGTCCCCTTCCCACAGGTCATAATAAAAATAACAAGCATATCTAGAGTAATATTTTCTCACCTAACATTTGGAGGTAAGCATATTTTCTCAAAGAACAAAACATGCTTGCTTTTTCTACCTCCGTTTTTCAGAGGGTGATCATATTAATTTGTAGCAGCAAAACAAACTGAGTCTTGTGGCACTTTTAAGGGCTAACCAGTTTTATTATGGCAAAAGCTTCCATGGACTAGAGACCACTTCATCCGATGTATCATGAAATGCATCTCTTTAACCACAATGACTACAGTAAAGGTTTGGTGGGTAGTCCCTCCCCCCCCCCCATTGGGCTCAGTCCTGTCAATGATTTCCCCACACTTACTTTGTAAATGTTTTACTAGGTACACCCTGGGTGGAAAGTAAAAGATTAGCATTCTCATCCCAATATGTGAGGTCTCACACATTTAAGGATAAAAGAAAGTTATAAAGAGTTGCAGGCATTACTGCTTCTCACCATCACAGACAGCTTCATGTTTACCTTTGGAAGTCAGCTATGTCCTGCTGGTCCTCATTGTGGAGATAGAGCTGTTAAAGTCACAAGAACAATATTTCCCCATTGCCATCCCTAAAGCAAGACCTAGGCTCTCATCCTATACCAATTTACCTGGGAGTATGCCCCATTAAACACAGAATTACTTCTGAAATACACATTTATAGTATGTGGCTAAGCTGTTTTGCAAAGTTTTTACTTTTTGCATTTGCCATTTGAGGAGGTGATTGTTTAACACCCACCACACTTTATTGTGTAGTAGTATTTGCTGAAAACAACTTCTTTGGTGCACAGTACCTTATCCCAGACAAAATCACCACAGGAAGGATGCATTCTGGTTGCTAGGGGGGGGAGATGGAATTACAGAGATTCCATGGACTACTAGAATATAAAACAGAAGCAGGGCAAGTGAACTAAAGAGGAGGGGAAAAACTCTTTAGGACCCCAGGGATTCCTATCCCCCAGTGTCCAAACAAATCAATTATCAATCAGCAGTTTAACTTCACTCATTGGAAAAACACTGACAGGCACGACGAGCCAGGATGACTCATTTCATACAGTGGCGTAGCGTGGGGGTGCGGGGGGGGTGCGGCCGCACTGGCCGCAACATCTGGGGGGGCGCACTCGCAGCGCTAAAATCCATGGGTTAGGGGGCGCAAATTACTTGCCTTGCCCCGGGTGCTGACAACCCACGCTACGCCACTGATTTCATAGGCACTGCTTAGAAGGGTATCTGTACATTTTGATTCATAACTTTCTTTCCCCTGCTTGTGGGCAACAGTGAAGAGTTTCATGGCTGCATGGACCCAATGGAACTGGGACTACTGCTGTAGAAAATACTGATCTGGATGGACTAATGATCTGACTTGGTATAAAACAGTTTTCTTCTTCTTTTTCTAATGGGACATTACTCCCATGTGCATGGGACAGAAGCCTCAGTCAGAAACTGACAAGTAGCATGGGAAAATATTTTCTTTTTCTTTGAACTATTCTTTTGTCCGTATGTTTGTCTGCATTCATTGTAAGGGACCGCCGCATAAATACTGGCATTGCATGTAGAACATTGTGCGTATTTAATAGTGTGCAAGTGAGAAACTCTTGTCGGTGGTTTTCTGTAACACATTTAGAAACCAGCCTTTATCCACAGTTTACATAAGAACTAAAGTACAAAGCAGACAGCGCAGAAGGATCTTGCAAAATGATATCACCAGGAAATAAATTGACTGATGAAATCAGTGCTGATAACCGTAAAGTAATGCAACAACTACTGAAAAACAATTCTAGCTAGAGTGTTAGGCTTACATTAGTGGTTAGCCAGTCAGGAAAGAAGTGGATGTAAGTGAGATTGTTCACTTACTACAGCAGCAAGAGGGACTTAACATACCTGGAATATGCTTTCATGCACAGATCCTTATCTGGATGAGAAATTTGCTTGTTTATTTTAGTGCAACCAATGTGCCAGTTTATGGAGTAACAGACAAAAAGGCAGGTCCTTTCCCCAAGGAGTTTCTGGTTTCACACAGGTGAGCAAGAAGGTGGCAAAGGTAAACAGGAAAACAATATGTATTCAGATCAGTTATTCACACTTAAGCTTAGATTCAGTAGGGCATCACAATGAAAATTGTGCTGAAGACTTGGAAAAGGCTCTGCAGAAGGATTTTAATAATAATAATAATAATAATAATTTATTTATACCCCACCCATCCGGCTGGGCTTCCAACAAAATATTAAAATACAGTAATGCATCAAACATTAAAAGCTTCCCTAAACAGGGCTGCCTTCAGATGTCTTCTAAAAGTCTGGTAGTTGTTATTCTCTTTGACATCTGGTGGGAGGGTGTTCCACAGGGCAGGAGTGACTACCAAGAAGGCCCTCTGCCTGGTTCCCTGTAACTTGGTTTCTCGCAGTGAGGGAACCACCAGAAGGCCCTTGGAGCTGGACCTCAGTGTTTGGGTAGAACGATGGGGGTGGAGACGCTCCTTTGGGTATACTGGACCGAGGCAGTTTAGGGCTTTAAAGGTCAGCACCAACACTTTGAATTGTGCTTGGAAATGTACCGGCAGCCAATGTGGTCTCGGTGGCCGCCCCCAGTCACCAGTCTAGCTGCTGCATTCTGGATTAGTTGTAGTTTCCGGGACACCTTCAAAGGTAGCCCCACAAAGAGCGCATTGCAGTAGTCCAAGCGAGAGATAACTAAAGCATGCACCACTCTGGCAAGGCAGTCCGCAGACAGATAGGTTCTCAGCCTGAGTACCAGATGGAGGTGGTAAACAGCTGCCCTGGACACAGAATTGACCTGTGCCCCCATGGACAGCTGTGAGTCTAAAATGACTCCCAGGGTATGCACCTAAGGTAAGCGAGAAGCAGCTTCACATAGGGGTGTTAGGAAAGTGTTCTAGGCATAAGCAGGGAAGGGAAAGAAGAAAGACTTGAGTCAAGTGAAAAGAAGAACTTGAATTGGTAGAGGGGTGGAGCTGGATACATTCCTGGAAACAAACACATTCTGCCATAGACAACTGTCCTATATCTCCTCCTGCCACCAAGATGTAGCAAAACAAAACATGTGATGTACATTTTGATGATCAGAATTCCTCTCCACTTGCATGCAGCAACCAATGTAGTGGACAATTGCCTAGTAAAAAAAGAAAGAAAAGAATGTCAGTAAGAATGTTGTCCTAACAAAGCAAATATTTTTGATTGCCTTTATTGGAATGTTGAAGACCAAAACCACCAGCTGATATATTTCTTTCCTTCTTGAACAACTGTTAACCTCTGTTTTCCCTTTGTTGGTATGTTTTGTTAATTGAGATTAAAA